CTCATATGCAATTTTTGAAGTCAAGCAGGTGAAACAAACTCTATGAAAAGGATATTGGGAGGAAAGACTGTGATCTCCAATGAAAAAAAAGTTGTGTATGATAAAATGATCTGAATGTTGAGCATTGCAAATTATGATCATTTTGATGCTATGTTGGTGTTTCGATATTTTATGGTGATATGCGGGACAAATTTTAGTGTTGTCTTCAGGAAATACCGAATAACTGTGCCACTGTACAAGACTGATGGATCTGATAATAAAATATTGGAAAGAATAAAAAGAGGATAATAAGGATTGTAAACATAGATATTTGCTGAAATTCAAACTCCACATTTCATGACATTACTGCTTTGGAAAGTTAAGAATAGAAAAGTGATGATAAGAATAAATGGGTATGTTTATGGATAACAAAAGGAATAACGAGCTCTCAAAAAATAGAAATTCAAAACTATTGTATGAAATGCTGAAAAATAAGCAAATAAATAGGCCTGAAAGTTTACTAATTGCTGTTTGCGTAAAGGGTAAAACAACAGAGACGGAGTGATTCAACAAAACATCACCGAGCTAAAAAGGGAAGATGGAGGAGCAAGTAGCTCTTCAACAACCACTTTAACTCTTTTTCAGCTGGTACCCACATCCATTCACAAATCGATTTTTAGTTCATGCTTCCTTAGGATAGAAAGCTTTTTCGAGGCTTGTGTAAATGCCATGACTTATAACAGACCATAAAGTGAAGTGAAGAATGTCCGTCTCTCTCCCTTTTGCACTCTTTCCCTCCTCATTTATTTCCAAACACTGACCAAAAGAAAAAATACATGTGCATCCAGTTAAGGCTTTGCATTATATAAGATCGGTTAGGCTAAGTCTTTCTTATTGCATTTTCGAGCTGCATCCACTGCGCCATTTTCATCCATTTTCCATTACATTCAATAACGCCCATGCATCTAAAGTACAAACTAACGCATACACATTGCTTGCAATATTTGCAAATAGATTCAAGAAGAAAATTCTTCAGGGATTCAATAATTGACTTGCAGCACACATATCCTAGGAGATGAGGGAAATGCTAGTAAGACTAAAAGATCACTATCTTATTACTACTCTCAAGCACCGTACCGTACTTTCAGCACTGTCACCGGCACTATCGTTGGTAATATTTCGCACTGTTTGATTGCATGCTACTTACCACTTTCATGGGAGTACTTTCGAATTTTTATTAAATTAGTCACTTTAAATCACAGCAGGCCTCTTCTCTGATCCTCACGGCAGTATTTCCTATGTGTGATGTGATGAATATATTCTGATACTGTGAGTATGTCAACATGCTTAACACGACAAATGATGCGTAAATTAATACCATCTGACGTTCACCCTCGATCAGTTATCATACCATCCAACCTACAGCACGGTAGGTATTTTGCGTCGCGGGCAGAAGGGAAAGTATAGTTGGGGCGATCGCGTGAGCTCTGGGAAGATCGGATTTGTTCGTTGTGAAGTCGTTTTCTTCAAGTCATAGGCCGTAATAGTTCACGTCTCTCCCTGATTGGGGATTAATTTCAAGTATAGTTACAGGACATGCCAGATTATCTTGGTGATGATATGCGCAAGATTAAGAAAGAGGCTGTGATAGATGACGACAAACCTTTTCAGTGTTTGTTTTTCATATATTTATTAAATGTTTAATATTGATAACCTAAAATTGGCCCGCCAAATGTATCTTCATGGAAACAAAGCACTCCATGGAGAAGTGGACTTATCCTTTTATTATTGGAAATGGTAGCAGTTTAGCGATCTACAAGTTCCTGGCTTTATTAATTCAAAATAAGAAAAGAAGCTTTGGATGAGATTGTGGTGAGGAGATTAATATCGGTATTCCTTAGCCCTTGATGAGAACGATATTGTTGTGTTGAAACGCTATGGACAAGGTGCTTATACGGAACAGTTGAAACAGCTCGAGTCCGATATCGAAGAATGTGTTAAAAAAGTAAGTGCTTACTATTCCTTACAAAAAAAAGAAAGTAATACTGGACTTGCTCCACCAGCTTTGTGAGACACAGTTGCCGATAAGCACTGATAATTTTCGTAATTTATTTTCCAATTTCTCGCTATTCTTGCTGTAATTATTATTTGATTATTTGCTTTTCTATGAGTTATTGATGGTCAAACTCATCTTGCAGATAGGAATTGTAATGTTGAGCAATTTCAAACTTTCTCCGTATAGTTGTACGTGTACCTCATAAATTTTTTTTCCAATATAGGTGAATGAGTTATCTGGTGTGAAAGAGAGTGATACTGGACTTGCACCACCAGCTTTGTGGGACATAGCTGCCGATAAGCAAGCAATGCAGAGTGAACAACCTCTCCAGGTGTGTATCATTTCGGTTACAATTTCTCACAGTATCTGATTCATTGATTTTTTAGTTGGAACCTAATAATGATAGCTTAAATTATTATATTAAAATAATCGATAAAAATACTCATCGGATCGCAACAAGAACATTTATAAATTCTATCAAAGGTTAAACAGAGAAATTTCTTAATTAAAAGTGATCATGCAGAAGTTGAGCTTAGAGTTATTTTCATGTTGGAAATATATCCCTAAAAGTTCAGCAAGAAATTGGTTTTACAGGTTGCACGATGTACGAAAATAATAACATCAGAGGGACATGAGCCGCGTTATTTAATAAATGTCAAACAGTTTGCCAAGTTTGTGGTGGATCTCGCAGATACCGTCGCTCCAACAGATATTGAAGAAGGCATGCGAGTTGGTGTGGATCGCAACAAATATCAGATTCATTTACCTTTACCCGCAAAGATTGACCCATCAGTTACAATGATGCAGGTAAATGTTTGTGGAATTCTTTAATTGGAACACTATAAATCGATATGAACACCATTTTACGTCACACTATTACTGATTTCATTCTCATTTTTCAGTAAAATATGCAGTAATCGAATTTTATGCTGCGAGTTTTATCACAAGTTTCATTTGAACTGATTGCAGGTTGAAGAGAAGCCAGACGTCACCTACGCCGATGTAGGAGGCTGTAAAGAGCAAATAGAAAAACTGAGAGAAGTGGTCGAAACTCCTTTGCTGCATGTAGGTTTCGTATGAAATTAATTTAACTGGAGCACTCAAAAGAGTGCTCCAGTTAAATTAATTTTTTAATAATGTCCTTTCAAATTGTTGCATTTTAGCCAGAGCGTTTTGTCAATTTGGGTATCGAACCGCCGAAAGGTGTTCTATTGTACGGACCTCCTGGTACCGGCAAAACTCTTTGTGCTCGTGCTGTCGCCAATCGTACAGATGCTTGTTTTATCAGAGTTATCGGTTCTGAATTGGTGCAGAAGTATGTAGGCGAGGGTGCTCGAATGGTGCGAGAACTATTCGAAATGGCTCGCAGTAAAAAAGTTGGTGTGATCTTTGTTTTCTATACTTTCAAATAGCTTTCCAGTTGTTAATTTATTTACTTTAAAATATTGAATTAAGTCGTGTCTCAAAAACTTTGTAGGCCTGTCTGATATTCTTCGATGAAATAGATGCTGTGGGTGGCGCAAGATTTGACGATGGAATGGGTGGCGATAATGAAGTGCAACGCACCATGCTTGAACTGATTAATCAGCTGGATGGTTTTGATCCACGCGGAAATATTAAAGTATCTTTTGATGCTATTTTATGTATTCGCACGCTCATCCTTTCATAATTAGGGAAATCTTCTTTGTGTAGGTACTCATGGCAACTAATCGACCTGATACGCTTGATCCAGCACTAGTTCGACCCGGCCGCTTGGATCGTAAAATAGAATTCGCTTTACCCGATCTAGCGGGTCGTACTCACATCCTCAAAATTCATGCGAAACAGATGAGCGTCGAAAGAGATATTCGATATGATTTACTAGCACGGCTTTGTCCAAACAGTACTGGTAAGTTTTTTATATTAATAACACTTGTGAAACAAATAGCATAGTTTGTTTTACGACACTTCTATGGTTTATTTTTGCTACGAGCTCAGCAGCTTGCATATTGGGGAAATTGAAATACCAATTAAAATGTCTGAAAGAAGTCGATAAATTTGACTAATATTTTAAAAATTCAACTCTCTGAATACTTATGGGCTTGATAATGGCGATGAACGGGCAATTGACGCATATTGCGGTAAATAAGTGTGAATGCCTGTCGTACGCTACGGGCTGGATAACCTACAAACTGATATAAACTTTTTCTGTAGTTCATTCAGGGTTGTAATCAATTTTTGTCATTCTTAGCCTCAAGAAAAAACCTCAATTTTTATGGAATACATCCGCAACTCTTTGAACAGTCTGACAATGATGTCAAAAATATTTTCTACAGGTGCTGAAATTAGAAGTGTTTGCACGGAGGCAGGCATGTTTGCAATACGTGCACGAAGAAAGCTTGCTACAGAGAAGGATTTCTTGGAAGCTGTCAATAAAGTGATCAAAGGTTATGCCAAATTTAGTGCCACACCACGTTACTTGACTCATAACTGAGTAAGGTTTTCCTAGAAATCCTCTAAATTGTCGAGATTCCTGACTAAAACTTCGCAAAAGAGTTTTAAAAGTATTTATATATCTAATTTGTTTAGCTTGGGTGAATTTGAACAATAACTTTCCAAATGAAAGCATTCAAAGATTTTGAGTGAATATGGATAACGGGACAATTTCTTGTTAATAAATTGAAATATGTTCAACTATGAAAATTGGATACAGCATATTATCACGAGTGTTGATTCTTCATAGTTTTTATATGTTTTCACAAGGAAGTCAGGTGCAAACTGCTTTCAATACCGAACTGCAAGTTCAGGCTTTTTGGAATTTTATGGTTTAAGTCTCAATTTTCATTTCGAACTAAAATAGTTGAACAGGGAAAAGAATTGTTATTGTGAGAGGATCTGGCACCAGATAAAGGATTTCCACAACTTGTTTTTCCTTGCAGTCTGGTGAAAAGATGAACAGCGGTAGTGCAAGTACACATATATACTGTTATGATAGCAGTTGCATGATAGTGATTTTTGCCATCGAAGTGTTTATACATTTATTTACCAAACCCGTCAGGATATTTGCTAATACGAAGAACAACAGTCCCTGTTGATTGATTGAATCCACTAGAGATGGTTTCAATATTTCCAGCGGATTTTCATCTGTAATATCGTCATAAGCTGGAAGAGTTGAAATCACTTAAGACGAGGAAATCTCAATAATATTTTCTGATATCAGTTGTATCATGTTTTCTAGAGCACAAACATTATATATTACCGATTAATTTCGTGAAAGAATGTACGAAATCCGATTATGTGCATCGGAATTAAGTTCAAAACTCACCATCGACTAGAACAATTTTCGTTTCAGAATGCACTTCCAACTGAACATTTTTCCCCATGTTAACCTTTTTATTGAAATCTAAAAATTACGGAAAGATTTGGCAAATCAGTTTCCTGCGATGTTCAAGAAACTAGTGTTCTGGATTTAGTCGAAAATAACAAACAGGAATTTCTTGTAGGAGTGAGCTTACTATTGCGCAAATGCGACATTTGTAAAAGCCAGCTCTGAGGTAACTGAATTAATAGATAACCAGACAAATAAATGTTGAGAAAGACTATCTGAAATGTCGCATTTATAAAGAGAGTCTGATATAACAAGAAAGATGCATTTATTCCAGTGGGTCGTAATGAAATTAAAATAGAAAGTAAGTAAGAATAAATAGAACACTCAAATAAACAAAGTAAATCAAAAATAAATAGAACACTTATCATTTCTAGGACTATGGTCTAAATCATTCAGTAATTTACCTCTCTCGTGATTTCAGTCTCAATTTAAATATTGTTACATATGGTCGTAGTAAAATAAAATAGCAAAAGTAGTAAAAACAATGTAAATACATAAAAAGTAAATAGAATGCTCGAAGAAACAAAGTAAATAAATAGAAAGTAAATAGAACACTCACCATTTCTAGGATGTATGGCGCATTAGCAATTCTTCGTGATGGCGAGCCCATAAATTTTATAGCGAATTCCTGTGCTACGAAAATTGCTGCAGTGAGTAGCAGCAACTGAAAAGAACGGTAGAACCATACTTTGATTCGTTTCCTAAAAACATTAAACATGTCCATTTCTCCAACCATTATTTGAAATGACTTCTTTTCTCATTTTCTTTTGAAGGAAAATGAATTTTGAATGGAAATTTTAATCTCTTGTGACTACTGCAATGTTTTCGGAAATTACTTTTTTGCATATAATGAATGAGGATGGATATGAGAGGGATGAAATACTAAATACTAAATATTTTTTAAAGGGAGGAAAAATAGGAATGGCGCTTTAATTTATTGACAAATAACAAATGAAACGTTTTCCTTGACATAAGCATTGATTTCTAGAATATATATGATACCTTTTTTCGATTACACTAAAATTTATGAGAGGATCGCAATGATCATGACATGATATCTCGGTAAATAGGAAACTAGCTACAGCTGATGCCAAATAATAAATTGACAGGTACCCACAAAATGAAAAAATTCCTTCGCGATTGTTTGGTACAAAATCTTTCCTTTTTGTCTTATTTGAAATCAAATATTCCTGACAAACTGAAATCTAAAATCCGTAAAATCCGAATATACTCATGTTCATTACAAATAGTGGTACTATGGTCTCTGCAAATCCTCGCTTAGCTACTGTTCTTAACAAGAAGAATTGTTTCTCCATTCGTTTGCGAAAACTTCGATGTTGAAGCTTTTCTCAATGATTGAATGTTACCTCAAGTCAAAAATAGTCATATAAAAATAGATATGTAGGAGTATTTAGCTCAAATTTACTAATGCAAAGTAATTCCGTGTAAGCGTGTAAAATAGCACCTGTAAATTTTATTTCGTTAAAAAATATTGGTATATAGAAGCAATAACTATTCCCAATAATAAATGGTATCGTCGACCCAAAAAGTCCACTAATAACTGAAATTTTTGTAAATTCATTCTTGCTTTTCCATGTTCTGTCTCAGAAAATTATTGAAAGTATGGAACTGTGACAAAAATAATAATAGCATTAAGAATAGTAACATTAAGAACCCTCTGTGCACTGGGAAAGAAGATACTGTTCTAGCTTAGTAAGTTAAACAAACCCGTAACAATCCAAGAGTAATGAAAAAATTCCAATGAATGCCATACTCGTTGATCTGATACTGATAATTGGTGAAATGAAGCAAAACCGTTCGTACTATGCCTAGCATTATTAGCACTGCTGATGACTTCAGAGAGCAGTACCTGCAATGAGAACATTTAGACGTATGTCTTCCTTATTAGCCTTTACGGGTTTGTTATTGCGCTATTATCATCCATTCTATCTCTAAATCTAATCTCCTGCATGCGATGATTCGGACGATCTATCTTCTCATCAAATTAGACGTTTGTTATGATATCCACTCGGAGTAGCAATATTTCTATACTGATAGCGCAATACGAAATAAGTTTGTGAAACCGGTTATCTGGTTATATTTAATTTATCTATTAAAAAAGCTATTTGATGCTATTGTTTGCTTTTGTCTGATTTAAAAAAAAATATTGTCGTTGTGGCTCATTTGAAGCTATCAAAAATATATTCTATCTTAATTCAATACCAATTGTTAGACTATTGTCCTCGAGAATTGAAATAAATACGCACCGGATCAATGCGTTAAAATCATGAAGAAATATAGGAAAGAGAACCGCTGCTTCTGAATGACATTTTTCACTCTTCCAGGATAATATCGGAATACATCAACTAAGCAAAACAATAAACAAATGTAGCTGTGCCAAGATCCATCACACTTCTGCCAAAAATTGATGTTTTCGCAAAATGACGTGGAAATACATCAAAATCTACGGATAATATGGCACCAGCTGTTGCGAGTAAACCATATAATCTGTAATTGTATTAGAATGAGAATAGATTCCGTTCCAGAAACATTTCATACAAATTTCCACTCAAAAGTCATATGTTGTATCTTCATATTAAGTCAATAATTTAACTTGTGATTAATACTAATCTAGATTTAAATTGTTGCTATCAGCAGTTTAGTTTAATTTGTGATTACGTTATAACCTCATATAGGTGATGAATTTAGTGGGTGAATAATGATCATCATTAATGTGACGGAACAAATCACAGTATGTTCTCTTTCTTCGTTTAATAAACCAATGGCAACAAATTAGAACAACAACAAAAATCAGAAGTATTATAATTTGCGCTAACAATAATAACAATATGTAATCCGAAAATAAAGTTAGGGTCAACACCACCGGTATCACGATAAGTAGTATATCGAGCAGAAATGTTAACCTGAAATTACATATTGTACATGTAACGAAGTTCAGAGCAATGGAATCGATTGTACGGTCTCTGACGTAGTACTTTGCTGATGAAAAATCAATAGCATGGAAATATTTCGGCTTAAAATATTCTATTAAAGTAATCTTAAATTTTAATCAATAAGTAGACTTCTAACTTTCAAAGTAAATCAAAAGGCAGAGAACAGTATGACTAACCAAATGTTAATGTGGAGAGAACACGAAAAAATATGAAGTATCCCTGGTACAGCTACATTTCGCAGTATTATTGACATTGGTCCAATTGTCTGAAAGAGCAGAATCTCTGCTTGAGTGGTACCATTTCGCATTTCTCACCGCAACTTAAAGCAGCAACCAGTATAGAAAATGCTTTCAGCGACAATGACAGGTTGAAATAATTACAATGGTTATAACGGATTCACTTACAAATTCATTGCAAATGCATGAACTGAACAGCGGCAAAATGAACTGTTTTAATCTCTTCTCTCTTTTAAATCTTGGTTTTAAATCTACATTTCCATTATCGAATGAACACCTGAACAATAATTTCATTTATCGTGTCAAAATTTAACAACTCATCCTTACCTCTGCTACCAGCTATGTTGTATTTAATGTGACTTTTGCCTTCTTAATTTTTCAAAAATATGATATTATTATGTTTACATATATTACTTGTTCCTTGATATATTATTTCCAATGTTACACAACGTTTCTTAAGATATACTAAGGAAATGAGTGATATTGCTTTAACATTCTCATTACACTAAATTGAAAGGCAGAGAGCGGAGAAAAAATGATTACATAAACTGAATAAATTTGAGAAAAGCCTTATATAAAAAGATCATGGTATCAAATCATTTTGTTTGAAACAACTTTTTTATATAATGCATACATAAATATCTCGTCCTGATGTTTATAGTGATAAAATGACACGCTTATAATCATTAGTTGTTTAATGAAATGACCTGAATACGCCGTGCAATTTATGCAATATATAAATTTTCAAAACAAGTGATATAGATGCACATATTCCGCTTGAAATAACTCTTACATATGCTATAGAAGATAAGAACGCTCTTAACAAATGATGATAACTTAAATATGGTACACAGAACGGTCAATTTCATCAACACCACCAGCTCCATCTCAGTGTTCTATTGAGCAGTTTCCATATAATATGATAAAATAATGATATGAATTGAATTCATCTGAATAATATCAGTGGTCCAACATAATCACTTCAAAATACACGCAAATAAAATAGCTTACAGAGTTACCATTATATGTAGAATTTCTTAAAGATGCTTTACAAATATTGCATAATTTGAAAGCAAAGCATATGTCTCTTACCAGAAATCTATGTTTGGACCCTAAAGTCAACAAATGTTCCATAGGTCGATACTAATGTAGAATTATTTCTGGTTTGTAATTTCAAACTAAATTCAAAAAATAATGTAGAATAGTTAAAGCAATGAAAATGCATACCTTAGAGCAAGGATAAAATAACTCACTTAAAACATTAGAAAGCATTTTGTATTTAACATCAATTTCACTGAATTTCGACGGACTTACACATATTTCTTCCATGATCTCATATCCTAAAAAAACTACAACAGAAAAACAATAAAAAGGAGCAGAAAACAGGATACGGAAATAGACGCATGATGTCAATATTGGATGAGATAGCAAATAAAATGTATTTGTCTTTAGGAAGAAAGATGCATAGAAAAAAGATAATGATGAAAATTATTTAAACAAGCAACAATTTTAATATTAACACCGATGTAGAATAAAATAAACAACAGAAAATAAATAATTTAGGAATTGTTTATATAAAATTCAAGACGTTTGCTTCAACCTTGTATAAACATGGATGAGTAAACATGAAATGAACATATACAGAGTGATAATAGTTGTCGAATGATAGATATTTGTTACAGAGCTTGTCGTTATTGTCAAATTAATGAGACCCGTGAGTATGTTCGTTAACAAAAAAAATAGCATACTATATCGATTCACTGAATCAAGCATGCATGGCTTTAAACGTTCGAAAGGATTTTCATCTGCAAAACATAAAGCGAAGAAATAGAAAAAATATTTAAATAGTGCAAAAATTATATACTGCTCTAATTCCCAGCAGCCTAAATTGAAACCATTTTCTTTCAGTCAGATTTGCAGTTTTCTCAGTCAGACATGGCTCGGAAATTGCTGTCGCTCCAAAGAAAAAAAAATTGGATATATCATATCAAAAAAAAATTTGGAGAAATCGGAAAAAGACAAACAACTAACCAATGGAGAACTGCGGCATCTGTGCAGCCCATCCAAAGATTGAAGCTAATTGTATCAACAATAAACTAGCCATGTAAACAGTGTGAAAGACTAGCTAAATATGACACATCGAATTAGAATGTGCTAATTTTTTCTATGACAATGAAATTTTAAAAAAAAAAGACTATCAAAAATAAATTTGAACGAGTACGTATAGCTCACCATTTCTAAGATATAAGGTAAATTCGCAATTCTCCGCGAAGGTGGTCCTAGTAATATTTCAGCCAATTTTTGAGCAAAGAAAAGAAATGCAGCAATCATGAGTAACTGGAAGGTTCTGTAGAACCAGGATTTGAGTCTTATTCTGTAATTATAAGAAAGAGATTAAAATTTCTGATGTCTCTCAGTCAGACTGAATCACTGCATTAACTAGAGGAAATTGTGTGTGTTCGTTCTACTCATAAAAATCGTCTTCGACTTCCGAAAACTATTAAATGATAACGATTCTATATGGTGAGCAAGTAAAAACGACTTCATCTATCTAATTTAAAGTTACATTTTTCAAGATACTTTTTCTGGTAAATACTGTTTTTATAATGACTTCCATCCTACGATAACACAACAGCGTACATGAGTTTACATCTAAAACTATTTATCATTGAACAGTATCTTAATAACGGCGAAAGTACAAACAAGATTAAAAAAACTACACTGGAACAATGACTAACCCAGTGGAATGCATAAAGCTGGCAATAGAGGATGCAAAATAATACAGTGATAAATATCCGAATAAAGAAAAAATACCTTCCCGATTCATTGCAATAAAGGTATCTCTATTGATGTCTTCCGAAAGCAGCCAATTCTGAATTGATTAATAAAGTAATACATTTATTTTCAAGATATTTTAAAAAGAAGCGCTTTATCCAGAAAATGAAAAATGAAATTAAAACCTGTAAATTTTTTTCAGCCAACAAATACTGATAAACGGAAATGATGATAATACCGAAAAGCAGATGAAAACGACGACCAAGCAGTTTCACAATAATCTGAACAAAGTATGTAATGAACAGAAAGTTAATATAGATATCTTTTATTGAAGAAAAAACGAACACAAAGACAACTTTCTTATAAAAATCACTTTAAACTTTAACTTTTCTCCTACAATACAATGTTAGCAGCATCGTCTATCCATACGTCACCAAGTATGCTAACTTAATTAAACAAAACCAATCATACAATTTATCATTTATTAATATCATAAACTAATACTGGAGGCGTTTATCTTTCAGATTGAAATAACTGATAGTTTAAAACACAAACCCTGAGAAAAGCGAGAGTTATGAAGAAATTCCAGTGTATTCCATACTCAGCAACTTGTACTGGATAGTTTAATACTTGAAGGATGCATGTCCTTCCGAAACCTAAGCACAGCAATAAAATGCTTGGCAAGTGTTTCCAGAAAAAATGTCTGCAATAAAATTTAACTTTTCCCCTAAATTCAAAAACTTCGAGTCGATATATTCAATATTAATGTCGGATTATTTCCCACTTATATTTTTATATTCGAGTTATTCATATATCCTAAAGTAACCACTTCCTTCGACCTTTCGACCTCAAAAGAAGTAGGAAAACCTTCGCAGTGATGGAAGTTTGTTTCTGCTTGGGAAATCCTTGAAAACATCAACAATAGCAAAACAGTAAACAGAAGCCGCAGTGCCAAGATCCATAATACTTCGACCATAAGTGTATGTTTTGGCAAAACGACGTGGGAAAACGTCAAAATCAACAGACAGAATTGCAACTGCAGTTGCAATGAAGACCATAGATCTTAAGAGAAAAAAGTGAGAATTCATTATTTCATTTAATGTTAAAGGTCATATTTTTCACGACTATAAGAAAACGTTCTCGACATCGACCAGCGAAAATTTATTTTTACAGTCTTGAAATGGACTCGTAAAAATCGTTATTATTAAAACTTATAAATACAAATTTCTGTATGGGGTTTTTGTCATTTAAATGCTTTATGACTAATTCTTTCGACGCTGCCCAAATCTACGACTTTATAATATAATACTTTTTCAATCAAGCAAATTAAAATGATTAGAAGAATAATAAGAAGAAAGTTTTACATAACTATTTTATTGAAGCAACGTTTTTGGAAATGCTACTTATGCATACAAATAGGAAAAAATAACCTCATGTAAGTAATGAATTTAGTAGGTGAATGTTGGTCATCAACCATTTGACTAAAAATTTCTCGTAGTGCAGGTTTTTCGCGTGCGATAAAACAATATTCACAAAGCGAAAAAGTTATTAGAGAAAGCAAAGCAATTAATTGGAGAAGAAGAATCACAGAGAGATGATCTGAGAACAGTGTCAGTGAAAGAATAATTGGTAGTACTATGAACAAGAAATCAAGCGCGAATTTTAACCTGAAATTTATCTCTTTAATGGCAAACATTGGAAAACATAAAACCGACTTAACCTATTAACCAAATAACTTGTTTCCCTTAAGTGAACCGGCATACCCATAAACGACACATTCACAAATAATGAGCCGAGATCATCTTTCATTAAGCGATGCACTAACTATTCCGCAGAATTTAACCGTTGCAAAACTAAGCCAAAAGTTAAAAAATGAAATTTGTACATCAAATTTGCTAACCGTCAAGTGTTAAATGACAACTTTAGCGCCCTACTACCTTATCTTTCGATTTCCATGTATTTATATCAGATTGTTCTGAAATGCACTGAAGTTTAACTAGGCAGAGTTTGCCGCCAAGCAGGTATTACACCTTACAAACACTGAAGGATAAAACTTTGAAATCTATGAATTTACCAGAAACCATTCGATAAGGCAAAACGAAAGCCAACAAATATCCATGGTACAGCTATATTTCGGAGCAGTACTGAGAATGGACCAATCAACTGCCAGAGAATAAGTTCCATTTGGCTGGTGCCATTACAAATAAAATTAGTGCCTTCTATTTGAACATTCTGCATTAAATGCATTTCTCTGAAACAGTACTATCTTGCAAAGAAAAAAATCGCAAGTTTTTTGGAGTTTGAAAGCTCTAAACTCTTTCATAGTTCACAGAACCTCTCCTGTAAGTATTAATGTAATATTTACTAAAAATTATCCACAATAAAATAAACTCCAAAAATTTGCACCAATAGTGGTCGAAAAAAATTCGTCATAACTCATTCCCTTCGTTTCCTCCTTTATTTCAAATTCAAGACTGGAACTGAAAAATTAAACGACTGACACCTAACTTCTATCTTGTTCCTCCGAAGATGAAAGAACAAATACAAGTGAATCCATTTTTGAAAGAAAATAAGCAGAGATTTCTCCAATGAAAGTTCATTCACGTCAAAAAAAAACATTTTATTGTATTTAAATGTTAATTCAGCAAAGAAGAAAGCATATGAAAATAAAAAAGGTTATTTGAGAAAACCGCAGAATAGGAAAAAAATAATATAAATTGGAGAGCAACTCTGAAACATTTATTTAAGATCCAGAGGGTATGGACAACAAAAACATGAGATCTCAAAATTATGGCTGCTACAACTACAAATTATCTTTTATATAAAACAAAAAGTTATCTTTCACATTAATCATCTCAATTCGCAAAGCTACATTGGCAAAGCTAAATTTAAAATTAATAATGGCCAATTACGGTATGTCAGAACCATTTTGTCGAGTGCAGCACATACTCGGTGGAACCGACCAGTCATAAACGTAAGATGGTCGGATGCGATACTCCTTTTCACAAAGCTTACCAGTATTTACAACTGAAGCATATAATTTCTGAAAATGAGTAGAAACAATCGAATGAATTTTAAATTCAAGAACACACAATACATTTTCTTTTCTGAGCAAAAAAATAACCTCAAAACATTTAAATTCCATTATGATATCAAGAACAAACTTTAGAGAAATTTCTAAATTTTCGGTTGTAAATTTAAAGAATTAACCTTTAAAGAATCCGGTGTTTGCTTATGTGTAATAATATATTGATTATTGCATCCTCTGGAACTGAATTCGGTATCAAAACGAGGATCATGAACATAGTGAACAGAAAGACCTGCTAACCATGCGCCTATCGACACATCTTCATTCCTGAATACTGACATTACAGACACTTATTCTCCACATTCAATCCTCAGTATACTTCATTATTTACCACTGTGAAAGTCCGAATTTTTGCAAAAATTTCTGCTCAAAATACATGTCAGTGTTAGCTTCAGCAGGATTTTATTACTTCAAATAAAGATTTACTTGTAAATTTTCAGCAGATCTTTGTTCCGCACGAAGAAGTCGACCAATTTATAGGACAAGACATAACCTCCTCCAAGCTATAACAAATTTTATAAGCCTCAAGATGTAATTATTCGGAAAATTCCAGTTTTGTTAACGATTACAGTCGGATAATTTTGCTTTAAATAATGAAATACCTGATAAGGAACATAGCGATCACATATAATCCAATCTCTTTCAGCCCACTGCCCTCTTCGTTTTGGTCTTCCCCTTCCATCCAAGAAACCCCAGTATAAATTTGGATTCGCAATATCCTTTAATGCTTTTAAAAATGCTCCCAAACGTACAAACGAATCAGAATCCACCTTCAAAAATGCATGAATTTGGCTAACTAGGTTTTTTTTAAAAAAAAAACAAATTAAAATCAAATTAAACAAATCAAAAGAATTTAAAAAACAAAGTTAAAAACATAAATTAAGAATTAAAAAATTAAAAATCAAAAAATCATAAACTAAAAGCAAAGAATGAACTGCAAACAATATATTTCTTATACTGTGCTAATGTGGTGCAAGCTATATCAACCATGAATTACCAGAAACTGAAATCATTACCAAATAATCTTGAAATTAAACGTTGACCTCAGTTCATAATAAGATCTGACTTGAACTTGAATAACTGAACAAAGATAACCTTTAACAAGAATTCAAATTTATACATATTGTGCATAGCTTGCATAGAAAGTAAAGACTTCTTCGTTAAATTCTGGTAGGCATCTGCGAGGTCCTCCAGAAAAATCAGATCATTAAACAAATTACTTTCTTTTTTGAGACGTTCCTTGAAAGACAAACTCAGGTTCTTTGTCCCAATCGGGAAAGCATAGCGAAATGTTGCTTTACCTGTAAATTTGAAGAAGCAATTTGTTTTTGGTTTTTAGATTTTTGATTTGTTCTATTATGTATGAGACCAAATAAATTCCGTATTAAATTCTAACCCACCTTTAGAAGATAATTTCAACCAAGTGTTGCGAATAACAGCGCGTACCACATCATCATCTGGAGATGACATTATCACAATAGCCAAATATGTTGAAGGTAAGTCTGAAACACTTTCCGCACTTGAAAATCATAATGATTCCACCTTCAAGTTTGAATTAAAATCAGAAGAACTTTTGTTTCTTTTATGACTAAAAATAAAACTTTTTAATAATTATGCCTTGTTAAAACCTAAAGAAAGCTGACAATTATAATTTAACTCTTGAACGTTAAATGTACAAAAGTTAATCCCTCGCCATAAACCCACCTTTATGCTTATGCAAGCTCGATGCAGCAAAACTGCGCAATCTACTAGATGTAAACTGCTCCTCGCAACTGCACGTTAATGAAAGAGTAATAGTACATATGACGCAAATTAAACAACCACACAAAAGTACTATTACTCGTGCAGGCACAAAAGATCGCCGCCCCATCCTTACTTCCATATGCCACCATTCCGATTAATGTGTAACGAATATTCAAAAATCGTTTATTGATTAGAAGTTAATCCCAAAAAATGCCTTCTGAAACTTATCATGACTGGTCTAAATCTTCTCACAAATCATAAATCAGTGAACCAATTACTTGATGAGAACGAGTTATAAAGCATTGCTCTTTCCCACTCTACAACATTCGCATATATACCACAATAAATTGAAAAATTCTTTTAATACTAAAAGCAGTACTCGATCATTCCTGCGTTTATTCGCGAAATCACTTATGGGGCATTTCTGCCACTCAATCACATCAAATATTTGAAAATTGCGACTTATTGAATAGTGACCACAGCATTCTAGACACCATAAAATTCCCAGCTATAAAGAAAGCAAAATAGTATTTAGTCACTACAAATAATTACTGATCATTTATTAAGGGACATGAATCGATAATAGTACCGCCGCATCAATGGGAAACAGGCTATTGAAATCGGAATTTGATGCTTGCCTCTAACTACTATAAAATATCCAAAACTGCAGACTACACAAAGACGTGTGGACTAATATTTGATTATTTACAAAACCTACGAATATAAATGCATTTGTGACATAAAAGCCTTTACATAAACGAATCGAATAATTTAATGTAAACTCTTTATTTAAATCACAAATGATGAAAATGTACAGTGAACAACCAATCAATCAGCCAGTCAGTCAACTGATATCATTATCACAAGCTGACGAATAATAACGGATAGTAGCAAAGTAATGGACTCTTTTTAAAGGGATAAGGAACTTGAAGAATGACAAAATCCAAGCAGAAAAAGACAGTTTTGAAGCAAAGCATAACGACAAAATATTGAAGTAGTTGCGAGTAGGTCTGGATGAAAAAAGATTGTTGCTTCATGCCTTGCCAATCAAAAATGTGCAAAGCACTCGTTAGTTCTAAAATAAAGATTACCAAAAAGAACTTGTAAAAATCAAAAACAAAGCAACAGCGAATATAATGGAAGATTCGGAAATTCGAATATTATGAAAAGTAAAAGAAGATAATAAATGGTAGACAAAAATTTAGTTTTTACTTTACTTGCCTACTTTTCACAAAGTTGAAGATATTCTGCTTTTGAATCTTGATAATCATAAACTTCTATGTCTAAATTGATGAAAAATTACAATAAAACATTTACGCATTACATAAATATCAATCTCCAGTGAGAAATACGAAATCAGTTCTCCTCTTGAGCAGATAATATGACAAATCTAACTGCAAACGCAATTAACACCACGCCTGCAAGCACCACAAGATTATACGTCAAGGTAGCGTAGTCGCCCTCTTCACCAGACCTTAAAAAATTGTTGCTTATAATTAATGAATGAATTAATGGTAAAAACACGTAAAAATGTTTTCGAGATTTTTCAAGAAAAATATCTGAAACCCAGGAAAACACCTTTTATCTTCAGAAATTTTTCATGTATACATCATACGTACATCTCCGAGTTATGATCAGGATAAAGACCTTCTCTGTGACGCAGTCTCATCCATTGCATTCTCTTCCGATAGCAGTTTGTTTCGTTCCTCGGCCAATTCTTCTCGTATTTGCTTAGCCAAATCATTAAACAGTTCGCAAAAGATTCGATCCTGCAATAACAAGATAAGGCCATTACTTGAAACAAAGAGAAAACAACAATTTCATAAAGAAATGTAAATATCACAGCTAATGTTAATCATGAAAAAAGGACCTTTAAGTTGAATTCCCTAGACTTCCTAGCAAGAACACGCTTCTCTGCATCGCTTGAGGTTATACTGCCTAGAGTTGGAGCTGTATCATTCATGAAGGAAAGTAAACCCGTTATAATGGTTGAAACCTGAAATAATCATATTTATGATGAACAAAACGACCTTTCAATAAAATAACATGCTAATAAATTTTCAAAAAAAAAATTCATGCATAATATGATTTAAAGATGAACCGTCCAAGCAGGATTCCAAGTATCTGGATGAAAATCAGAGATCGAAAGACACAGTCTTGTATTTGTTTGGAAACGTCCAGAAGGCGTTAGCATAAATATTGATGGCGGCTTAAACGGAAAGTCGGGCGGAAAAATCAATTTGCCGTGATAGAATCCACCTACAAATATAATATAAAACTCGGGTGCCAGATATATAAACCCAAGAAATACATCTATGATTTTACACTCTTTGATTTTCATCTATTTCGAAGATATGCCAGAAGATACATCAAACTAGTCTTTATAGTTGTCCTATTAAATTTAAATACGCAAATACAAAAAACAACCTTCATACGGTGTCTGCGGTGCCCCCCTAATTACATAATGCCACTCCAGAATATTAGAATGAAGGGGAGCTGCCAAGACAAACGGTACCGGATCCTGAAATGCATCGACATGCAATGTCAATTACTAACAATATATACAACAACTAATACAATATTAAAAACAAGCTTATTCGATTTAAAAATTTTATAAAATTTGACAAACGAGTAAACCTTCATCAATTTTGCATAGTCCTTCTTCAATCTTGAAACTGCAGTTACTGATGGACCACCCATGATATTAGCGTCCTGACTGAAATTCTCTCGTGAGCTCTTATAATCTATTCACTCCTTGGACAAAGTCGGCTTCACCTCCATGCGATCGAGGATTTCTTCTCTGTTGAGTATAAGCCTTGGTAAAAGGAACGCAAGACTCACATAATAGGGGAAATACAGTGGAATACGTGGAGAGGGCGGAGAAGAGAGACACGAAAGTGATAAATACACGAATAGCATCTCAGGAAGATACATCATCCTTGTTTATCCAAAACTATCTCTCCCATTCGAATCCACCTTCCGATTTAATGGAGATTATATGTTGTGTCCACGTATTCCACGGCTTCTTAAGAGATGCTTCAATGAAAGGATCAGAATTCGAGATACCAAGGTGGCCCAGCTGGCGGTATGGAAGCAACATGTACTATATTCAACCTTTTGGACGCGCTATTACTACAAAAGATCTTACCAACAACTACTTGTCCCGATTTTATAAACAATGAATGCAACAGTAATGACATATCTTTTATTAATCAGATACCAAGCCACTCAAGAATAAGCCAATAAAAGATTCATTCTTTTTAATGCAGTTTCTGAACATGCAAATTTTGGCTTAAACCGATGTAAACTTAACATGATACGCCATGTTTAGCCATCTTTATAGCACGAAAGCTAGATTAAGTCATAAATTGAAAACGAGAACAGATGGTTTGACAGCACAAGCTTAGGAAAGCAACTAAACTGAGTTGATATCTTAAAGGCTTATACCATCACACTGTATTTTATATTCGCTTGAAATTTATACTTTTATTAAGAAATAATGAACAACAAATTTAACAAAAATAAGAGATATTTCGTATTATTGACTGAAGACCATTTATAAGACAACAATGCGATAACAAATGCCCTGAGATTATAAAAATGTGACTATTGAATGATAAACTTAAAAATGGTAGTTTGTGAGAGGTTGCAATAACTGAGATAAGCTTTTAAAGCGATTTATTCATCGCTTTAACTAACAACAGTAGGTTATGAACGCTGTCAGCGCTGACCTTATATTCTAGCTTCCTTGCATGTTGTTCAGTAATATGATAAATAATTTCTGACATGTATAGTCAGCCTATTTATTAAACAAAAAACAAATACAGCTTAAGATCTATGCAGTTGGATCGCAGTTGGACGCTTTTCGCTAACTAAAGTTTAGTGGTATTGCATGAGCACTTCTTTACGATGTTGCTCGATGCAAAATATTCTTAACCAAAAAAAGAAATAAATCTATGCAGTAAATGTTTGATGTAAAAAATTGAATGAAAGACAAACAACAAAAGATAAATGAAGTAAAAAGACTTACATTGGTCTGAGAAACTGAGAAAGCAACAATAATCAAAAGTTCTCAGACGATTATCCTGAATACGTTTAATTCTTTCTCAAACAAAAATGCAGTACATCACTGCTTATGTAAACGTATAATCCGGCGATGAAATACATAGAGATAATCGTGAGCATACAATTTAACAAATAAACCACGAACTTGCTTCGGGCTATCATAACAAAAAAAAACAAATTTCAGAGCGTAAACAAAGAAAAAGAAAGGAATGAATGATTTTTTCAATTAGAGAAAGCATGCTTTAATAATGGACATTTTCTTATATGGAATAATCCACTTATTATTCGAATAAAACAAATGGAAACAAAAGATGTGCAGCCCCTGAAGCAGCAGTAAATCTAGAATGCTCAAAATAAAGGCGGATACCAAAAAATTGTAGCAAAAAAAATTTGATTCAATATGAGAAGTATTTTTTTAAACACTAAAAATCTTTAATCTTACTTCTTTCCATTACCTTGATCGACAATCTTATGTGGAACTATAACGTTAAAGTTTTCTTAAATCTCTCATCGTCCGAATCAGAAAAACTTGACAATTCACTTTCCTCCTCGTCATCTGACTCATCATTGGTTTTTGCTTGGTCTTTGTTTTTTGAATCTTCTGAATCAAAAGGTTTTTCACCAAATGCCTTCATGAAATGTTCGTTCTGAAAAAATAGGCATAAAAGATAAAGTTCTACTTCAAAAGAAGAAAGTATGATAGTTCACTATACACACTTCCTGGATCAATCAATGTGATCAAGTTGCATCAGATAAGATCGAGTATCATTATTTTAAAAAGATTCACTACGGTAGTCCATAAGCCATTTAGACCAATACGCTTCATAATTTTTACAGGTCAGAATTTCTGTATACTAAATATCCAAAGAAAATTAAAAAAAAATACTTCGAAAGCTGGAGAAAAAACAATGAACTTGATTAAGAAATAACAATGGACAATTAACAGGTTAAAACATACTTGCTTATTGTAGAACATCGATTGCTTTGCAAAAACACGTTTTTGTTCCGCTGAGCTTTCTATAAAGCCTGCAATGACGCTTCTGAATTCATAGAATTACATCGTATGCTTTCTAAATAAACTTATATTTTGCCAATAATAATCGAATAACCTTACTAATAAAAGATAAATATGGATTTTAATACCGAAAAATCAAGATGAACAAGAAAAAAGATAATTAACAGTTATAAAAACTATCCAGACTGATTAATGGAGAGAAATGAGTCCTGAGAATGAAGTTCAGAACAATTTACTGGAACTTGGTACCCAAAATGCATTGTCAAAATGATGCTTTATTTCTTCAATTAGCGGAACCAGCAGTTCCTCATAAATTTGATCCTGTACAATTTTGCCAGAGCAAGGATGTTTACTGGAACGTGGAAATCTATATTCTTTACAATTTCCTTACAAATATACACAAATACTATGGATAAAAATATAGTTTACGCACCCGTACCCATCCTATCCTCATCGAACATCATGAAATTGGCGAAACAAAGCAGAAATGCTCCGACAGTCCACGACGGATCCCAATTTGGAGAATGAAATGCAGAAATAGAAAGGCAAATTTGTTCACCAGGTTTGAATCTAAATTTCATCCTATAGCACTCATCATTGAGGGCTCCTAATTCGATTAAGAAGATTTTCCAGTTAAATTAAAAAGGAGATGTTAATATTTGTCAATACAAATTCAATTCAAGACAGCATAAAAACAATAAGTAATGCTTGAATTACCTTCCATTCGGCGTGTACATGATAATATGCGGAGGGATCCACGGGAAATTCTCGGTGAATTGCATCTCGCCGTAATATATACCACCTAATAAGATTTAATGCTCTCAGTAAAAAAGTTATAAAGCACGGAACATACTTCAACAGGATCAGTAAGCTGAACTTATAAGAACCTACAAAATTCAACTCTTCATATAAACTATCAGCAATAGACAGTCCTTTGACATCAGACATTTTTTGCACAATATGAAAATACAAAGTAGTTCATGCACCATGAATAGAAGTCGACAGTACAGCAAAACAGTAGATCAGTGCATGTTGGCAAATGAACTTAGAAAATCAAGCAAGTCACAGTGAGAAAGAGGTGAAATTATATACAAAGGAATACCATCAAATGGGGTATCTTTTGCACCACGAATGGCGTAGCCCCATAACAACAAACTTTCATCCAGCGGTTTTGTAACGATATCCGGAAGTGGATCTTTCTGCAGCTCCAAATAGTCTTTCATTAGCCGACTGTTTGGCTCTTTGATTAATGAGCAGCAGTGTTCTTCCTCACCTATTAGGCGAATGTACGGTATTTTATGTTTTCTACCTGCAGAGTAATATTCCATTTCCGCAAAATGAAACTGAAAAGGGAAATTGTTAAGTTTTACTTTCTAAACATCTATCGTATCCCTATATCTTTCAGGGTACTATCACTATTCTAATTGTCAAATTCTTAAGCTCTTCAAAGATGAAAATCCACTTTTTTATCAATTCATACGACAATTCAAAAACTGAAGTATTTTTCCACTGGGACATATAACTAGCTAAATAACTACCACTACCTCACTTTCTCCTCTTTTCCTGCTTTCCTTGTTTAGCTGATCCTTTTAACCATCATCATCTATTCAGCCTATATTTCATCGAAAAAAATATTTTAACTTACAGCACAGTAAGTAAGTCCTTGAAGATTGAATTGTATCTATGATAAATTAAAACTAACACCGAAAGAAAATTTTGCTCCAGTTTTTAATACAAACAATATGTCTGAAAAGCGAATTACATCTGGAATACTTGAATGAGAAGAATTGGAACAAAACCGTCATTTCAAGCGTGAGAAAGAGCAAGATTTATGCTTTATTAAAATATTTAAAGGAGTTTTTTCGATTACTGTTTTATTATATCGACGACGCACACTATCTAAAGGTAGTAAATTTTTTCTCGTCACAAAATAGTAAATCAAAAAACCAATTCGCATGAAAAATCACAGATGAAAAAATTGATCGATCCAAGATTGTGATAAACAACGATAAAATTCAAATATACTGTGCATGCCGTTAGGCAAGACTGAAACTGAAAGCGAAGAGCGTATAAGAAAAGACTAGAAATGAATCAAAACGGAGCCAAACCACTTTCACCGTAACGCGAAATGTAGGCAAGAAACATATTCAAAGCAAAGATTAGCTATGCCCAACTATGTACAGATTTTCACAAAATCAATAGGCGATGACAAGAAAAGAGATCTATCACAACACTGATTAAGGTTTGAATTCTGCTCTCGCGCATGAAATGTTGCGTAAACGCTGAGTAATAGGAGACATTGTTGACGGTGGTGGTGGCAATAATGGGAAGCATCCAGAATTGCTGCTTTCATTTGCTGCTGATGTCCTTGCCTGCTGAGGATTTGTTGATGTTTTTTTCTAGAAATATATTTTTGAGTACTTATTATTATTTGATAAATATTAAGAGTTGGAGAATTCCTTCGAAACAGTTGGTTACAAGTGAAATCAATTTCTATTACTTACATTTGAAGATGACTACCGCAACTCCACCATTTTGTGAGTAATATGGTTTACAGTGTCAATCATTTCTACCACGAAAAATCTCTCCAATAATATCAAAATAGAAAATGATATGCTGTTCCAATCATTAAAAAAGGAATTACTCCAATCCGAATATATTTGTTTTGGAACAAGCAATCTACCCCAAAATTTATAGTTATAGTTTGTCCTTTTTTGAAACCAAGGTCCAGCTTTGGTTGATCATTCATTTGTTCTTTACAGAATTCTGTGGTTTTTTTAATATATTTGAAATGCTCTTGTAGCGCAACATTCAAATCAAACGAATCACTCCGATCAGCGAACCCCAAACCTGGAAAAATGATAAAACACCTCAAACAATTCATACAGTTCATAATTCATGTGCGTCCTTCAGCAGACATTTTCTAAGCATCCATGCATAGATGCTTGTTCTTTCTAGTATTCAAATTTGAAATTTGTTGTAACGAATGATTTATATATAAACACTGATACAAAGAACGAACCGATAAAGGCTGTTTGACCGTTATCATTTTTTAATCGAACGACAAAATACCGTGAAGAGTCGAGGACAGGCTCGATACTAAGACCTGGATATTCATCTATCGGACATTTCGCAAACAACTGCCCAGATACCTTATCTTCTAATCGTAATTCCAACTTCTTACCAGTAGCTACTAAACGCATGCGTCCTGTCCAGTCTGGTTCATCTAACTTCCAATCTGCAGCCCTGTAAAATTATATTCTGCTCCGCAAGCTATCTTAATCACCACCACTACTTTAACACAACATTCAGATTGAGATAATTAAAAATTCCTTCTTTGAAAGTTCTACTTGACATACAACTTGTATAAGTACATGTCGAATTTCAACCAAAGTGATCTCCGATTAGTAGCAACTATAGTAATGCTAACAATATTAAACGAAAGAAAGTACAGTAAAGAAACTGCAATAAAATCTTACTTATGTCCTCGGTTGCTAGTAAGAGGTGGTATGCGATAAACGAATACTTCAGGCTTCACCAGACAAACGCTTTCGTATTCTTCAGACATAAGCAACAAGTTGCACAAAGTAATCCAAACAAAACTGCAAAACAAAAAATTCAATCACACTAATTTTTGTACGCAATATTATAACAAACGAGAATAGAGAAGGGAAAGTCACTGAAGCGATAACAATGTTGATCAAAAACTGTGGAATGAGGGTCCTTTTGATTTAGGATTCCAGAAGTAAAATACCGAATCCGAAGGGTAAACGCTGTCAGTTAACGCACCGAAATTCGATATTTCCTTTTTTTGGCCTTATTTTTTCTTCGCTCCATCACTAGAAAAGAGTTTCCCTAAGGAGACTCCAAAATTGCGATCTGAATATATATAGTAAGCTCCATGGACAACTTGTTCAATTCTTTTTTTTTTTTTGTTTTAATCCTAACATTCTAAATAATGAAGACTTTGGTATCATATTTTGTACATATAGTTAATAGGGAGTGAGGATGTAAGTACAGATTTTGTTACAAAGTCTGCTGAAACAGAAATACAAGAATTATGAGGTTAGTGACTAAACAAATACAAAAGGATAGGAACCCTGTAGGATGAATTATGGCACAGAAGAATAACAATCACTGAAACCCACCCCTCCCCACGACCTTCTGACCCCTGCATCACATCAATACCTCCAGACGACATGCTGGCCATTCGCGGCCGTCCGTGTTGAGCCACACTTCCCACAATGAAATCGTGGAGACCAGACTTGTTAGTTGAGTTAGATTTCCTTGTGAGGTACAAAATAGGAGTGGACCGTTTTATCGATGGTTTTCTTATATTTCAATGTGATGTGTTTGTTACAAAGCTTATAATTTTTATCTTTTCTCAAATTCAACTCAAAAAATTTGAACTATCTTTCTGAAACAAATAAAGTAAGGCAGGAATGTAATGGATATTTATTCTAGTAATAGTAAATGGAAGTGAGATCTCCTGAAGTGTTCGGTAATTCTCACCAAAAGCTACGCAGTCTTAAAGTCCAACTAAGTTTTCTGCCTCGAACTGATGGCTCCTGCGCTCTGGAACAAGGTACCACTGTAATATGGTGCGGAATCAATGGCCCTGGTAACATCTCTTCTTCGAAACGACTCAGCGAACGACTCGTCATTGATATTCTTTATAAGCATGCTCATGGACAAAAAGATTCAATTAAGGTTTCTTTATAATACTTCAAACTTTGCACTGTTATAAATAACGTAACGCTGTTCGTCATATGCTTTTCGGAAGGTTATATTGGTGTTTTTATCAAATGAAGCTTTCTTTTTAAGCGTCAAATGATGATCTATAGTTCTTAAGCCCTGAAGTACGAAAATAAATTTTTGCGCAAAGTTATTAATATATTATGAATTGTTGCACTTCCCCTCGTTATTTCAAACCTGGCTTTTCAGTTTAATTTTTTTTTTTAATTATATTAAGATCACCAATTCGTTTTTTTCAGGTTAATCGATTATTGAGTGCTGCGTTGAAACACACTGTTAACCATGTTCATTATCCTCGTGTTGTTCTCAATGTCACCTTGCAGTTATTACAGAAAGGTGGCTGTGAGGTATTATTTTCAAATTGGTGCAAAAAGTAAATCGATATGAATTTTATAGTACCTCCAGAATTATTTCATTGAAGTGACATCATTCATTTACCTTCGTGTTACATTTTGATGTGTCGATGCTATTTTAAGGCAGCGGCAGCTTTAAATGCTGCTTGTTTGGCAGCTCTCGATTCGGGCATCATTATGAATGGGATATTTTGTGGAGTTACTGTGGCAGTTTCTCAAGGGAATCTCATTTTGGACCCAACCTGTGCACAGTGCTCTTCTGCTGATACAGTCTATACATTTGCATTTTATTCGTGTGGAAAAGTAAGTTTATGGAATTTTAGTTGACCGGCGAAAGTCAGACTCACTGGGAATTTGTGCCACTCCAAGTTTAAAAATGCTTTTTGTAAGATTGCTATCATACAGAACTCGTTTTATTTCTTCGGCATTACTCATGGTGCAAGTCCGAGGCATTTTGTGTTTGACAAATAGAATGTCAATGAAATGTAAATGCAGGAATCGACAAAAACGGTGGCATGCGATACAGATGGAACATTCGAATATATTACATTTGAAGCTGCGAGAACATTAGCAAAGCAATCGTCTGCTGACATTTTCTTATTTTATCGGGAGATTTTGCAGAAGAAAGTTAGCGTCGATATTTGGAAGTAGGATAATACTGCTCTTTCAACCATTACTTTTCAGTTCACTTGTTTGATCTCAATGTAATCCAGTTGTGCTCTTCTTTGTTCGGAATTTCTGGATAAAAAAACACAATTGAAGTTCTTGTAATACAAAAAGTACTAAAACAGTGGCAATGACGGGATCGTAGTGTCCCTACACGCATAACGTTTTTTTAACATTAGCGTTTCGAAAACATGTATTTGCTGTCTGTTGATTAGTTAGAGGTTAATTTCAGATCTTAGATCTCCAATTTAAGTTTTCCTTATTTAATTGTTTTATGGAGAAGAATGCAGAAGATCTTATACAGAAGTTTATTGCCTCATTCATAATTGGTAACTCAAATTCAGAATTTGATATCAGCATTGTAGCGCATTAGATTCATTCACTTGTTAAATGAACTTACTTTCAGCCTAATTAATTCACCACCATGCGTTTGCTTTCCTTATGTTTTCTTCAGTTACATATATTAATGTTATATACTGATATTAGAGTGGAATTATAATGCGGAAGTAACGGACACTTTGATTTATTCCAAGTCCTTGGGAAGATGTATCTTCTGTAAAACCAATCTGATCTATTGTCTAAAAACTCCACGAAAAATTTCCTAATCTCGCGATATCCATGGTATGTTTGTTCGCAGCTGATCTGAATCTCAGCTTGGTTTTATCCTTCAGTCTTTCCTCTTTGAGGATGCTAAATAAGAGGTTTTACTGAAATATCATTAGTAATTTTCACTTATAAGGCTTATAGGATCTAGTCGACACTTTTTCATTGAGAGGAGTTGTCAGAAAAGGAACGGTTTTCATTTTTGCCCATTCAGTGAGTTATGCCTAATAGCAACCTTTTTTTCAGATATGTGATAGGTTATTCTTCTCGCAAGAAAGTTTCGAAATAAGATTATGATCCTTGTTCATGCATATATAGCATATTTTTGTCGTTTGAAGATTACGTCTTTAAGAACATTAGAATACTTCATTGACAGAAGTCATTCTATCTGTTAGTTGAGTTTTTTGAGATATTCTAAAATGGCGAACTTGCGGAAAATGACTGTTGCTTTCTGTACATTATTCATCTTTAAATTATGCCATCATAATAATATACGTCAGCCGCTAAGAAATTAAACAAATTAATTGCATAACAAGAGCATTTTTTTGATTGCAGCGATTTAAAAAAGAAATCGTCAAATAATTATTGAAGGCGAAATTAAATTTTCATGTGGCATAACATTTTCATACTCGATTTTGCATAACATTTTCATATTCCCATTTGCTTCAAAATGCAAATATGAGTAATAGCTAAAGTCTATTTATTTGAATTTATTTGTGCACTGCCCTCCCGCTATTTATTGACATCTCTTATTTATTTTCTGTAACAATGACGCTGCTCAGAAAACTTCAACATGGTTTCTCGGCTTGAAAGCGCTTAGCCTGCTCTTATTCTACAACCGAATGGTTTCTGTAAAATTTTCGAATAATTTAAATAAGTGATTCCAGCAAAGGCCACCATACATAAGTTATTGAAGAATATGCCGATTGTTATTTACCATTTTGCATTATTTGAGATAGGGTGATTTAATAGAAAAGTTATTAAACAAATGGGTTGTCAGTCTAGTAAGCAAAGTGAGAATGTGAAGACAAAAAAGTCGAAGCTATCAAAACTTGATGTAAACGAAAATGCAAATGCAGCTCCGAATGTCCGTTTGCCAAATAGTTCTGATTCTAAAAAATCAACATGTGATATTCTGATGAAATCTAAGAGGAAATCCTACAATGAGAAGCGACTACTGGATTCTGTAACCGAAAAAATTCATCTGAAAATTTAACATTTTTTCCAATAAAATTGAATGAAAATAAAATTGGCTAAAAAAGTTGCTAGAGTGATTTCCAGATAGCAAGTCAACCAGTAATAGAAAAATTGCAATTACAGCGAAGCAATAAAGAAATACCTGTAGAAAAGTAAGTCATCCAAATTATTTCCCTTCAATCCCTATATCTGATTGTAGATGAAGTTAACTTATATTTTATGCATAGTAACTTACATTAACCTTTCGGAGCAAAAATCAATTCAATTAACAGAGTAACATTTTCGAGCGAGGAACCGAATGATGAAGTGGGTAATAGCGCACCAGAACCAGTAGTGATTCGAAGTGCCGATCTAAAAAGGAGGAGAATTGTATCGCGAAGTATGGAACCAAATGAAGAAGTTATTAGTAATTGGAATCAATCGAAAAGGAATAAACTTCATGTGCATGAATCAAACTTCATATGCATGAATGACAATAACAAAGGCAAGAAAGATAATATGCAAAATAATTCGTTGCTATTATTAAACATGTTTTTCAAATTGAGAATATTTCAGGACATGAGCAGTTGGATGAAAAGTTGAATAAGAAATATAAGCTAAATAATGGTAAACAACTACAAATTAGAACGTTAGTCTTTTCTTATCACAATTTTATTCATTTTTCATCGGACGGTTTTGATGGAAGTTGAATTGGGAGAGGTTAATTATAACAGGATTTTGTGTAGATGACACATAATTTCTGCTCCTGTTATGACAGGATCCTGTCGCATGTAGATGATAGAATAATTTCTGCTATTCTTTTTCCTTCCTTCTTTAATTTTTTTATTTTCCCTTTTTTGTCTATTTTCTATCGAGCATTAGACATTTTTTTTCCACTGTTTTAATCTTGCTTTCTTCATCTGATGTCCTAAAGTTGATGGATAGATTATGACAGTCAACGTAAGCCGAAAACTATAGGTTGATTAAAATTGACTTTTGGTTCCTACAGTTCGGAAATTAAATGTACTTGTAAAATTGGAAAGTAATATGAGAATATTAAGACAATGCTTGAATTAGGAAGACAAAACGAAGCCGAGCAGATCCGGAAGATGATACACTATATGAAGTACCGCTTAAAATGCCAGAATTCGATCTGATACCATCTCGATCAGGAGATAGTGTCGCGTAATAATAATATTTTGATGTTATGTAAAGCATCCACTTTCATACCATTGTATGCTATACATTTTAATAAAATATTGCTATTATGTCGTATGTATCCCTACAGGAATAGAAATAAATTACGACAGGTTTGCATTAATCATGAACTGCTTCACAGATATCGCAACGATGACTTAAATACAAACATTTTCACATTTTTTCTTCGCCTTCCAAATATATTCTCTAAATATACTAAAAATATTTTTTTGGCGATGACATGGATGAGATGCGTTTAACATTTGCAAAGTAACGCCATTTAACGTTTGCAACATGCGGTGACAATTGAACCATCGAAATAAATAATTTAAAGTGCTTCTATATCACGAAACATTAGAACGTCTGCGTCATTCTGGTAAATGTAACAATTTTTGCGCGAGTGCTCGTCTGTGACGTCCGTCACTCACAAGGAATAACGTTCCTCCAAATACGCTTGTATGAGGGGATAATTTAGCTATCTGCAAAAGATACATAAATGCAAAAAGTACTAATTTTTACTTTTTCGAATTCTTTCATCATAAAGTTTTGAATTTGCTGCAACACTCATTTGCATAATGTAATGATAGAAAATTATTCCTACCAGGTTCATTAATTCTTCAGAATCTTGTGGCCAATCTGCGCTGGATGGAAGAAGAGTCATTAGGATTCGCCATGGTAGGTCCACTTGTATTTGTTGCGCACCGAAATGACGCAAAAGGGCGCAAGAATAATCCACTAAATGATACTTGGTGTGAATTATTGTAGGTGCAAGAGGTTCCCATATCTCTACGTATATCCGTGGGTACGACTGCAATATTCATATGACTGCAATATTCATATGCTTTTAGGGTTCATAATATCGCATTTTTTTTGCAAAAAAAAAGTTTGATTTCAATGTATTTCATAGTCACCTATCTGTTCCCGTGTTTGTGTTTCACTCATTCATTCCATTAGTTTCATCCTCTTTTACATTTTGATACCAATCCACTCGGATACAAAATTCCGCTATGATTGATATTTTTTAATGCGGTTATCTTTTCATTAAACGATATTAACGAGAAGATACCATTCAAATTCTTCCGATTCATTCCAATTCCAACTTTCCAAATAAGCTACCACTTCAAATTAAAATTAAACCAAATAGTTTTAAATTGAAACCATACCTCGACATCGACTTTACTTAGCACGGCATTTTGATTTTGATGATCCAAGCTAAGGTATCTCCCGGTCAAACGAACCTGAAATAGGAATTCTCAATTTCCATGAATGTGAGCCTCCCGGAAGAGCGCAAACCTGAGGAGCACACATGCGAAATAAGCCAACAGGCCATTGCTTTAGCATTGCCTCGATAAGTGCTGACCCACGAGATGTGAACTGTGTGATACGGGGATCATCGATACAAATGCCCGGATTATTCTTGCCTGCATTTGCTAGCAGTCTGATCAAATCACTAAAATTACATATAACATCAGTTTGAAAATTTGAGAATTAAAGCATATGTGGAATTAATTGTAAAATTAAATTAATTTATACATTAATCACTTGATACAATATACCACTCAATTGTCATTCTAAACTACTCCTCTTCGCCCATTTGTAAGGAACTTATCATTCCAATGAATTCCTATTGATATGGTTGAGCAATAGAAGTAATAGCATTTGGTATACTTTTTGAATAGTTCGATCTGCGCAAATTCGATAGCATCCCATACATTTTTGTTGACAGTGAGAGTAATATTTATATCCAATGGATGATCCATTTTCGACTCCAACTCCAATTTGCTAGGCTGTTTGTCCAATTCAAAAGTTTGAATGAAATAGAAAAGGAGGACTACTTTCATATACGCTTGGATCTATTTATACAAGCTTTACCTTACAAGTAACATAATCCTCATAACGAACCGATAAGAATCGGTTTCGAAAGCGGTAACCATTAAAGGTCCGGAGAACTTGTAGCGCATCTTCGCAGCGGTAAAAACGAACTCGCCTAAAAATATCACTTTTATGAAAATTTAGTTTTAAAATATGTTTTATTAGATGTTAGAAACTTCTAAAATCTTGAATTTTATCTTAAATTTTTAATTGATAGATGTATATTAGTGTTAGCATTAGTAAAATGAATGTTTAACTAAAATAAAAATAATGAGAACCAACCAACGCCGATTACTGATGGCAATATCGAATATAGCAATATTTTTCCCGCATTCACTTTCGATAAGAGATCGAATAATCTAAATTGAAGTGCTGCTCAAAAAGAAGGAAAAATGCTCGTCCTATCTATTATTTCAACCTTTTGATTTTAGCGGCTATTTCTAAAAGAGATCCATTGTTGATTAATTTCAAATTTGTTTCAGAATTAAAAGAATTACTTGCTGTGAAGCAGCACCAATCCGTGGTACATTTAAAAATGTAAGTTGTGCACGAATAAGTTTTTCACTTGTTAACATCTCTGATACAGTTGGTGCATTCTGAAATGATAACGGGGAAGGATCAGGAAAGTTTGAAGCATTATTATCAATTAGTAGTGAATATGCTCATTGTAGAGAAACTAGAAACTGAAGAGTACGTGGAAACGGTCGGTTATTTGTGATCTCAGCAGCGGGTCATCGTATACTCGACTCCAGAAATCCCATCCTGACTCACCATTATCAATATCGTTGCTTGTTTCATTATTCAAAGAGTAATCATCAAAATTTGACAGTATCTGCAGGGAATGCCAAAGTCAACTTATTTATTCCTCCTTAATAAATAGATGGCACCGTTGCTAAGTGATAATTTCATAAATTCAGTCCGTTAGTTCGAAATGTTATGATTTATTTTTATTGCTGCTCATTACTTTATGAGAATAAGGATTGCTTCCTGCATGGGACTAAGCTTATTTTCGTGAATAAAATCTGCCTATTTGACAAAGAAGTCTTCCATTTGAAAGTTTTTCTCACATATCAACGACTAAAAGTTACTCATAAATTTACTTTAACCTTGTTTATATTGAGCATATCTGTAACATTGATTGAGCATGGCTTCTCATTACTATTGCTAGTGTTACCAGCATTAGGAAATTTAAATCTATTAGGAGCAGCAAATAATGAATTCGCGAATAGTGTGTTACCAATACTGTTGTTCATTAATTGCAAATTGAACGGACCATGCGATCTGAGATATCTCATCAATTCAGTTTTACTCTTTTAGAAAACTCATTTACTGTAAAAACTCTAAGGATTCCTTGAAATTCGTCAAAAATTTTTGTCTCGAATGCAGAATGAAAACATAAGCTAGAAATGACAATTTACTTGAATTGCGAAACAATGTACTCAAATGAAAAAAGGAAAGCGAGCTTCGAAATCTTCCAGAATTTTCAACAAAAGAAACTACCAAATAACAAAACGCTTACTGAATGTCCGACATTAAGAAAGATAGTAGGATGAATATGTGCCTGTTATTCGGAGAAGCCGCACCCAGATGTAGGGTTGACAGTTAGAAGTTTCAAATGCTTCGTTGTATGATGAAAAATGTACGCGCAACCGCACGATAAAGTGAAAACTATCAGCAATGAAAGTCAATTCAATTTGGAATACTTTTGTATCATTCATTCTCACTTCGGATTTCATTCTCTCAATTTATATCGTATGATAAGTTTACAAGTTTACGACAAAAATTCTTGATCTTATTTTGCTCCTCACGTAATTTTAAAAATAGTTTTATTGCAATTTCAGAAATTTGAACAAAAAATTTACAGTTTTATGTAAACGCAAACTGTAAGAGTTCTGAGTCTTACTTTCGCTTCATTTGTTCACTTAGTTGATGAAACAGAACATAAGCGAAAGTTTGCAAAGAAAAATTCATATCCCATTCGATATTCTCTCTTCAGCCAAAAGAGGCTCAACGAATACATTATAATTAACCGTATGGCAACCGTCCCAATATACAATTCCACAAACACCGCAGACGTAAAAAAATCTGAAACAAGGACAATTCATGACTTTAAACAACTGCATCTCGAAATTCATGACTCCAAAAAGATCTCACTACATAAGTACAAAGTCGAACTCATAGATAAGTTCAGCAAAACTCTTCAAATAACAGTAATGAACATTCTAAATATTGATTTAAAAATATAACTAGGACACAAATGAAAAAAACAATACCAACCTGCCTTTTTTTTCCAAAACTTGTAAAGGTACTTTTTCTATTTTAACTTCAGCTGGCGTATCACAACCTATAGCAGCAACCAAGCAATTTCTGCAAACATTAGTATGAAATCCAAACATAAAGGACGTTAAACAAGATAACACAGTTGTGCGAATGCATTATAACTAAGAGAATCATATTTACCCGATGCTTAAGATACCATTATGACAGTGTGCTACGATCTGTAAGCGATCACTTTTACTGACTTCTAAATCGCATCCGTAGCCGGAATATACTTCCGCGTCAACCTGAAATTAGAAGACAACGAAGTGCATGATGCTCTCGAAAGATATACATGATACTCGAAAATACATGATACTTTATCTGCTCTCAAAAGCGTACTATGCAGTTCCAGTCTATCTGTCTCAAAAACACTACTGAAATATCAAATATCCGCACTTCTCGCATCTTTTCATTGTATTTTGCGACATTATAAATTTCTTCATTAAACGGATTCGATGCAACAATATTTGCCTTGTACATTGCCTCCAGAACGGGAGATGGAGCTATCACAAACGAATTCGAATTGCATTTCTAAATAAACGGAAATAATTTGGTAATCAAATACTATAGAAACTGTCATCCATCAAAACTATGAAAACTAAAATTCTGTATAAACAGTTTATGGTGTTAAAAATTGTGCCAATGTTTAATTATAATGGATTTTAAAAAAGAATTCAAAATCCTAAAACTTCCCAGATCTTAAAACAAAATATTTGGGTTACTCTAACTGTTAGTGGCTCTGCAGAAAATGCATTACAAATCAAAACCGATTATTTCAATACATCTTTTCTTATTTAATTCATGAAACAACTTACCATGCAGCGTGAGAAAATATCATCTTTGGTTAAATGTATATTGAACTGTATTAAGACAAATTCAATCTGCTGAATTATGCTCATATTTTGCGCAGTTGGGACAGACAATATACGCTGTGTTCCTCTCAACGATCGATGTCGTCGAAGCTAAAGTTCATTAACGAATCTAAACTATTTTTCAAAAGCGAAAAGATGAGCTCTAAACAATTAAATACTTTACTCTAAAAGCTGTTCAATATAGCCTTTATGATTCGGTATTTCTTCTGCATTTTCTGGAAGATAATTAGTATTTTGTGCCCAATATCCATATATATCTGCCATATACGACTTCACCTTTAATTTCCTTCTAATCAAACAAAATTTCCAGTCTCCACCATGGAGATTGAATTGGAATATGAGAATTTGCATCTTAATTTATATCACTACTCACAGCAAAGATGATATTTAACATGTCTCATTTTCCCTCTTCAATAATAAAAATAAGAGTGCACTTCATCTGTTGCCTTTCCACACGTTATTATATATCGATTTGGATCTCTTTTGGCGCACTCAATCAAATAACTCCGTGTTTCTGCTAATATTGTGTCAATGCCGCACCTAGAATAAGAATATTCATTGTATACTACAACAATCCATTTAATTTAATTAAATGCAGATATTCTGAACAATCTACTACCTTCTGAGATGTTTACCCAGACCAAGCATCATTGAATCGACAATAATCTTCAAATCTTTCGGTTTCCTTTTCATTTGTAAATTATTTAGGCCAGAATTTAAACGCTGAAAGAAAAGCTAATAAGAAATAAAAACTCAGTGAAACATAGATTACGAATTTTTTTTTAACAAAACGAGAGAATGGCTCGGATTAAACAAAACTCCAAATATTGCAGAAATATCAAGCACTGGTAGTAGGACATGTTAAAGAGAAATATAATCAAAAAAAACCTCAATCATTTGTTCAAATTCCTTGTCATCAAATTTCGTTTCTTTCTTTCTGGCTCTCTTCTCTTCTTTTGATTTTATCTGTGTTACACCACATTCCTTGCAGTGTTTAGCCCAATCCATATTGTATTCTCTACAATCCTGTTAGTCCGAAACAGTACTTATTTCATAGTTTACGAAGTAAATCCAAAAAAATAAATCACCTTTCAGCTCTCATTTTTAACTTATCATAAAGATTCAATAAACAATAAGCATCCATAGCTGCATACTTCATCTGCTCACGGCGAAGAGGACGCATAGCCCAGTTGCCTATCTAAACAATTTTTGATATCTAAGAACCTGGAAAAGAGAAATGATAAAGAACATTCGTTCGTTTTTAATAATTAAGAAGTGAGAACAAACCTGTTCTGTTTTATCCAAGGCCTCACCAAGTACTTTCTGACATAGGTCAGTGAGCCGGAAATGGACTGTTTTATCAGAAATAGGATCTAACAAATTTTCAATTTCGTTTGATAATGGAAGGTCGGCTGAAAATAAACTATTGGACTTTCATTATTCCTAATTTAAAAGCCATTTATAGCGCTTTTGCGAAATTCAAATGACACAAGTAGAGAAGCATTGCTTAAAACGACAAAATTTGGAAAATAAAATCAACAATAAACAAATATCATACTTGAGTAACCGAAGTCGAGAAATGCTGGGTTCGAAGTTAGAAGCTGAAATCATCATAAACGGTAACTGGAAACAGAAATTTAAAAGCATATAAACACGGAATACGTCAAAAAAGCAATAACATACGCTTTTCACTAGCTTCAGCATGCAAATTACATTTTTCATCTCTTCCAGAGGCTGTAGGTAAGGAAACGAAGCATGCAAAACCCTTAGATCGTTTAGAAAGTCAAACCCTGAAATTAAAGAATTATGAAGAATTATTGAGCTACAATTTTCTGAAAGTATGAATATTTGTCCAACGCTGTAAAAGAGCCTCTTAAAATGTGATCTTACAGAAAAAAAACTACACAATTTTTAAGGACCTAATTTTATTGCATTGCTATCAGAAAACAAAGCTTTGAAGAATCGTGTCCACTGTTCCTCCGTGAGCATATTTTCTAAAGTGATGACGTCGACAAGATAACTGCAGCGTTGAACACAGATTTGAAAAAGTGCTACCTGAAACGCTTTCTAATCACATCAAACTTAGGTTGAATGATAAAGACCCGACAAAGAACAATAAGTGAAATCTAGGGTACCAGTAGTTTACCCTTTCACTTGTGCACATGAACAAGGGTTTCCACTCGGTATCTATTCCTATTAAATCGGCTTCTTTAATAACGGGATAAAGCTTCTCTAAATCTTCAGGAGTTGCAATCACTTCAATAGGATGACCTGGAAACAGTTCCACATTTGTAACACTCGCCCTCTCCGATATGATCCTGTAAAAGAATCATAGAAGCAGCTTCAGATACTTGAAGAGAAATTAGGTTCTCATATAAAAATTACAGAAATATGACGATCACTTAGTGCTGTACATCTCACGCCATTAACAATCATGGTAGATTTCCCCAAAAGTTCAATTCCTTTAGAATATAAGTGTTGAGTTCAAAAGCTTGTTCTTACCTTGCCAAATCAGCCTGCGCTTTGAGAACTGTATTACTGCACAAATAAGGCTGCAAACTGCGAGGAATATAATCAAATATGTTGTAAAAAACAACCCATCGGACAGCATCATCAAACCAGCCGTTTGAACAGAGATAATTAATGAAATATTTCTGCAGGGTCAAATCGGACTGTAGAGCTTGCTGAAAAATATGAATTAATTTCAGATTTTAATGTAAGTGACTGAGTAGCTAGTTCCACATGAATTATCGTAACAGTTTGAATCTTTACGAAATTTTTATTAAATTTAGCTACAAAAAACTATAAAAAGGACATTCATTTTTTCTTCAGGAATTGGACAAGGAAAATTATACTGTCTCTTCTCCAACATTGAACGACACTTAACATTCCAAATCCAAGATTTTGATGAGCAAACGTAGACACTTACAGCTACGTAATCAAAATATCCCTCTTCGGTAATACCACGTTCAACGAAATATATAAAAGTCATATGTCTTAGAGCACCTTCTCGCCTAGAACGAGACAACTTCGGTGCCACTTCCTGAGGTAAATTGTATGTTGCTAGCAGTTTGGCGACAAGCTTTTCAATAGCCTTCTTTTGCAGCTTTGACATTGGAATGGTCATAATTTTTCTTCTGCGAAAATCCTCATAACGATGAATAACAGCTAAACCAAAACACGAAAAATTTTAGATTTACAGCAAAATAGAAGAAGCGTACACTTTCATGCTAATAACTCCAACCCATCAAACTCTAACTCATCAAACAGTTGAGAAAACTGTAATCATCCCAAGATGGTATTTTTTGTTTCATAACATTTTTTTGATTGAATTGTTCAGGCGGTCTTCTCTAAAAAGGGTCTTCTCTTCAGGCGGTCTTCTCTAAAAAGCCCAAGACACATCCTTCGACATGACGAATCAAGACTGAACACTAAAACTGTACAGGTGTAGAACATTGTGCCTTTTGATGCTTTACGGTATTCTAAGAAAGTATCAAATCTTAATCATCTCAGTAGTTTGATTTGAAAAAAAGAAAAAGTATCAAGAACAACAAAACAGAAATTAACTTCGTTCATCGAGGCCAATAAGATTATCGAAATATCGTACAAGTTCTTCTTGCATTTTTCTTTCATTTTTAATGAATGCATCAACTGCAATAAAACGATCCTGCAGCATGCATGGGATAACTAACTCAATAAGTGTGAAATGAGACTGCAATCCAAACAAAATTGCACATGAGATAGCATCACGATAATTTGCCATTGATACCATATCCTAAATATTCTTATTTTGGTAAATATAAAGCATATGAAATAGGAAAAAAGGAGATAGATACCCTTAGTTAACCAACTAGAAATGATGAAAATATAAGACTAGCATAAATTTAAGCATATATAGGAACATGTGAGTTGAAAGCGAAAATTATATAACACTTCTGGGCTTAACTTAAATGAACAAAATTTCCATAAAAGAAAGTAACACTGATAGCACAAGCTTTTAAGAAATGCACAGGGAAACATAAGCCTTTTCACTACAAAAAACCGACACGGCGCTTGAATTTCTGAAAAAGTTACTCAGTGCGTACTACGAAAAACTTACTTTCACCGCTTGAAGAATATAGTCTGCCATATCATCACTTTTTAGTTGAAAGAGATCGATGATAAGTTCCAAATGTATTGTATGCTTATTTGTGCCGACAGCGAAAGCTTCAATCTGTCGCATTTATTAAGGTAAGTCTCAAATTTTGTTGCTCCAAATCATATTTACAGGCACAATTGATTTTCTTTACTCCATTTTTTGCTTTGTTTTATATGTGAATGGTATCCAATAACTAATAATTTCCAGCCAAATGTAATGATCCAACTAGACATCGTTTTGGAATAATGGTCACAAAAATGATCTTAATACTACAATATTAATATCTTAAAATCTTACGCCTGATTCTTTAAATCAAATGAAAAACTAAAAAAACCTTCACATTCCTATCTAGTCTCTCACACAGTTCATTACTTCTTCCCGTTTTTTGTAGCCAGTGCTCCAGATGCCGCAAAACGAAACCAGCCAGACTTGATGCTTTTTGCGCTCCATAATCTGGACATAACTAAAACATGCCGGAACTAAAGAGCAGGCATGAATCTTTCTATTTAATTTTACATCCCAAAACATTTTTTTGATCTACTTTTTAGTGTAAACTTTTTTTTAAAAGAAACCTTGTGTAAAACAAGTGCAGTTTTCATCGGATTTTCGCATTTATCGAATATTTCGTTCAGCACTGAGTGGCATAACTCCTGCTGGAATAAAAGAATGTAAAGATGTTTGATATGCATCTCAATACCTGACGTGTGGAAATTATGGATGTAAAACGGGACCCACAAAATTTTAATAATTTCGATACGACACATTTGAAAGCATTTTTTTTCAGTTTGTTCCAATGAAAAAAAGTAAACGACCTTAGCAATCTTTTTCTCCCCACCAATCCAAATATCCTTCAGCAACTTCATCCACATCCGTATTATTTCATTATGTGGTTGAAGCTGAAATTCTTCGTTCAGTTTTTTTCGATCATTTTCTATCTTCCCATCGATTAACTGCTTGTTTATAACCGAATCCCGAATAGGAACTTCAGTTTTTATTCCTAGACCATTATCATCAGCCATAACCTGTAAAATCTGCTTCAATTCCGAATAAAACTTTTCTGGATATGTTTTACTAAGCTAATATCGTTGATATTCCTCTGGACAAATCATTCAGAGCAAATTTTCAACTTTTTGGTAGCGCCTATTTTCTCCTCGATTAGTACTTTAACTGCTCTTCCCCTTCTTCTAATCGCAGCTGTCCCATTTCTACATTCTAATTCCTTATTCCAAAGATCCACTCCGATCTTACAACCGTACCCAGTAATAATGTTCAAATTTTAAAAAATTATTATGCTGCATCGGTGAAGTAGAGTCATAAGTTCAACTCAGGGAATATTGGCAGCAAGCCATCCATCGATCTGTACTTTTTCAAGTTTTTTTTGTAGTATCGAGCGTGTCTGTCGATTTTTCATTGGAATGTTCGCAACAAAGGTTTGGACATCATAGTGCGGGAAACATTGATTTGTTTTTAACTTTCTCTCAAATTTTACACGTTGATTTGCAGGGTGTAGTTGGTGGACACTCACGTTCACCTTCGTCAGACCTGTGGACACTCACGTTCACCTTCGTCAAACCTGTGGACACTCACGTTCACCTTCGTCAGACCTGTGCACACTCACGTTCACCTTCGTTAGATCTGTTCCTTACCTCCCCCCTTACGGTTATATCGTAGCGGGATGTTCCCGTGCAATGAATATGAACGGAAATTTTTGGCTCAACATAACCCCGGAACTTCACCACAAAAAACACAGGTAATTTCAACTTTTTATTGAAATTGCTGATAGCGAAGTAAATCTATGTAAGACAGTGATGTGCGAGGTTAGTGCTGTGCATCACTGACTTAGAAGTGATTCATTGCTTGGGATTGTGTAATGCAAAGGGTCATTGACATGGCTCTGATTGTAAACGATAGTGTATGTGCAGAATACTTATTTAAATCTATCTGGACATAGTTATGAAAACTCTTCTTTGTCCACTGTTAGATGGAATTAAAACAGCGCAGTTTTTTGAAATTGTAGATGACATTCTGAGGAAGAGCAAATTTGAAATTCTAAAAATATCGTTCATTTCAGGGGCACTCGCCTCGTATAACGCCAACTAAATATCGCCCAGATGGTGGTGATCGTTATATACCTATTCGACAAAGTAGTGCAGAGTGGGCAACAAGGTGATTGATTGATTGATTGATTTTATTTTTGGATACAAATTTTTCCCTCAAGTGGCGAGATTAGTAATATATAGTAAATAAACAGGAATAATGTATGCTGATTATTTTTCCGCTTATTTCTATCTGCAGTAATGATTATATCGAGAAGCAATGATAAGCGTCCAGCATCACTCCGTCGCGATATTGATTTTCGGCGTTATGGAGTATTTTTGGAACGCTGTGATGGTGAACTTGTATGAAGAACTTGTATGAACTGTAGTTTCTCTCCTCTGAAAATCGTAAAACCACTAAAAAGATATTCTTATGTCTCTTTGGTGGTTTTACAATCTTCAGGGGAGAGATATTGCCGTTTGCCTAAATTAAAGATTCTTTTCAGATTCGCTGCAATTGCATCATCGTCGCCTGATGCGCCGAACCTTTTCAAGAGACCTAATACGGGAATCCAAGGAACGTCGGTTGGTGCATCCAGTAACGGAAGTGTAGCAAATGCACAGGCAGCTCCAGCTACAAGTGCTATCGATGATTCTCGCATGGATTCTGCAGCTCATCGAGCTCTGCTGAGGAACGAACTCTTAAGCGATAATATTGATGATATTAGAGTGTGTTTATAGTAGAAAATTCAAATTTCTTTTTCTATATAGCAAGATAAGAATTAAAGTAGTTGATCCGTTCATGCAGCACATTTGTCGTTTTGGCATAAAAAGAAATTCGTATGAATGTCAGTTGATGCTATGAGCCTTATTTAAAAAACTTGTGTCGTTATCTGTGGAAGATTTTGAATTTTTAAAGCTAGATATCAGTTTTAAAAATTGGGTCAGTTGAATGAAATTGCAGTAACAGTTCTTCACTTCACTGTTATGTGAAGTGAAAAACTGTTACTGCAATTTCAGAACTGTTACGTTCTTCACTGTTATGTGGGAAAAAAATTTTCGTTTTCTTTCAGGCAGATCTTGAAGGGTTCGATACAGGTCGGCTGCGCGATAGTCCTAGTGGTGGCCTTTTCAAGTTCGGACAACGAACGCCAACGAAATATGGTGATGCATCAACAAGTCATGCTTCACGTTGCCTGTTTGGGGGACCGCCATTAAGCGAAGGGAGTCAGCGTCTTCTCAAATCGCCTCGCAAACCGCAGCGTAAAGTACCTAAAAATCCATACAAGGTAGGTTTGGATTTTAATAGATTTATGTTTTTGTCACATGTTCAGTAAAAGTTATTTATGTTGGATTATTTGGTTTTTCTCTTTTATTTGTAATAGTTGGAAGATAAGTCTTACTCATTTTTCAGGTCTTAGATGCGCCTGAGTTGCAAGATGATTTTTATTTGGATTTAGTGGACTGGTCATCGCAAAATATGCTTTCTGTTGGATTACATACTTGTGTGTATCTCTGGAGTGCATGTAATAGTCAAGTTCGTGTATTTTCTTTGGATTTTTATTTTGTGGAGTTTCAAGTTCTCTGCCAAATGTCAAATTGTGGATTGCCGATGGACACAGCATATTGAAGATTGAAGTTTGTAGGATTAAATATGTTTTTCTTATAAGTGGTGAGATGCTTATTATAATTCTTTTAAAGGTTGTAAAACTCTGCGACCTTGCGACTGATGGTGACAGCGTAACATCCGTTCAGTGGGCTGATAAAGGTGACTTGCTAGCTGTTGGTACAAATAAAGGCATCACACAAATATGGGATGTTCATGCGCAGAAAAGGGTGCGTTATATGTTGGTTTCGTTGGTCAGTTCAGATATCCTTGGCCTATAAAATTATTCTTATTACTCTAGAATGGCATTTTAGCTTCGGGAGCTCACTGGACATTCATCAAGAATCGGCTGCTTAGCATGGAACACCGATCTGGTGTGTTCAGGGTCTAGAGATCGCTTCATTATACAAAGAGATATTCGTCAACCAGCACAATATGCTGAACGAAGACTTAATGCTCACCGGCAAGAAGTAAGGGCGTACTTATATTCTCGTTTTTTTTTTTTCAATTTTGAAATCTTTGTTTAGTCGTTCGGGTTTTAGAAACTTTTGTTTTCCTATTTCTAAATTTAGGTTTGTGGGTTAAAATGGTCTCCAGACAGACAATATTTGGCATCAGGTGGCAATGATAATCAAGTTTTGGTGTGGAGTTTGAGAAGAAATGATCCCTGTCAGGTTAGCTTGATTTTAATTACGGATTCCATGAATTTTCGAGTATTAAATATTTTTTCCCTATTTCATTTTAAAAGTTTGGACTTTATCGAAGTGTTACAAATTAATATCAATATCGCAAGTGACATAAATTAGTGTCACATATCGCAAAAATAAATATTTTAATGCTCAAAAAATATTGTTTTGTTACATGCGCAATATGGAGAATTGTGCAAAATATTTTCTCATTTTTCATTTAGGTCTATACAGAGCATAATGCAGCAGTGAAAGCGCTGGCATGGTCTCCTCATCATCATGGTCTTCTTGTTTCTGGCGGTGGTACTGCCGACCGATGTCTTCGTTTCTGGAACACACTGACGGGCCAGTCCCTACACTGTATCGACACTGGCAGTCAAGTATGCATTTTTCATCCTTTAGTGTATTTGATGAGGCACTTGATTTTTAAAATTATGGATTAGCGAACTATCATTATCCTCAGTTTTGTTTGTAAAATTTAGTCTGTGATCATAAAACTCAAAAATGTTGTCTTAACCGCTTATATTTTGATTTGCTTTTTTTGTTTACTCTGATTAGATATTCAAGACATTTCTTGTGAAGGTATGCAATGTGGCGTGGTCGAAACACAGTTCAGAGCTGGTGTCAACACATGGTTATTCATACAACCAAGTTATCATATGGAAGTACCCATCTTTGCAACCAGTTACGAAACTCACAGGGCATCAGTACAGAGTGCTGTATTTGGTAAGCATAAATTATCAATGAGAATAACGATTGTACAGCGACGTTTGACATATATTTGGTAATTTTGTATCAGCTGTTAGCCAACATCGGAACTACATCTTTCTGGAATCAGGTTTAGTGTCTTGCTTATTTTAGGCGATGTCTCCAGATGGCGAGTCGATTGTGACAGGTGCGGGTGATGAAACCTTGCGTTTTTGGCATGTATTTAGTAAAGTTGGGCAACAGAAAGTTGTTCGTTCGAAGTTGAATCTACTGTCGAGTATTCGTTAAGCTTATTGCTTATCTTAAGAGTTTTTCTAGTTTTTCAACTTTCTCTTTCATAATATTTTTGAAACCACTTTTCCTGAATTTTAGCACAAGTTATTTATTTGTTGATTACGCCAACCGCATGTGCTTCCTGTTTAAGTGAATCAGGTCAAAGTGACCTCATGTGCAGAATTATTATCCTTTCTGTCTTTCAAGTCCGTTTTTCTTTCTTGCTTTTTAGAACAAATTCGTTTTATAAACAATAGGCATTAATGATTTCTATTGGAAATATAATGGTTTGGCTTTACAGTATTGCAGCTATTAGCCTTTATCAAATCACTTGATTAACTTTTTCCTTTATTCATGCTCATTTAGTGTCAATTCGTGTAACAGTCTCAATCAGGTCGTCGAGGAATTAAGTTGTTCAGGAACTAAGTATTCTGTACTGATCAGATGAGATGATTCACTTATTCGTAACGTATTTTCTCATTTCTAGTCTTCTATATGTAATGCATTTTGTTTGATTAGTACCACTAATTACAACATTCCGCATTTCAACTGAGCTCAGGGCTACATATGTGATAGTGTCCAGTGCGCAGTTACCTTCTGATCCTTTTATGAACTATGTTCACAGACTTTTTCTTAATAATTCACTTTGTTTACCCATCCTTAAGGCTATCTGCTCTCATTCTTGGATGCAACTCTTATTTTAGGGGATTTTCCTCATAAAACTTAATGATTCTTTATTCTTATATTAGCGGAATTATCAGTGGTGCCCGTATTATCAGACGACAACCCACATATTCAGTTGTTCTTGTTTCTTAGTAATTGCTATCGGATGTATTTCTAATCATGTTTGTTGTTTTAGATAAAAATGATCGTCTAGTCACTTCGCAAAAAATTATTTTACGAAATATGCTGACTTGATAGAAATTATTTATAGAATATATTTCTCGTTAATGCTGGTATGTAGTTGGGTTTTTCATCGATTCAGGTTTTTAGAAATATGCTAATTACATTGCGATACATTAATTTTAAATTCTCGGGACCGTTCCAAGAGCTTGTATATGTGAAAGCAAGTCGTATCGTTTATTTAGAGGCCGTAGTTTCTAACATCCAACATATTTCATGGGTCTTGGAGTCTCTTTCATCCTATGTTAGCGATGACTCCACTGACAAAAGCACGTTCCCAATGTCTTCGGTGTTTGCTTCCCATTACTTTTTATTTATTCATAGGAAGAATGATCCTATGAAATCATTTGCGGAAATGCTAGATTGCTGCATAATACCCCTGTTACATTGACTATCATAGCGCTCCATTGCGTGAATAGTGTGGAACATCGAACAGATGAATGAAGAAACCTTCCACCAAACTATTTGTAGAGTGCGGTAAAACCTATAGCATGAATGCAAGATGCGTAGTAGTACAAACTATTAACTTATGATAACGATTATGGCTGTCATCTTCAATTTTTTCCTTCTGGATCACATGCTGAATTTTCTACCATGCATAGATTTTATTTGCTGTAGTTTGCTATTGTAAACTTACAGGCAGACAACAAATTAGTTTACTGATTGGAAGATTAGAGAATAGTCAATATACACAAACGTTAATATACATTGCAATTGAACGGATTCAAAATTAGATTGGATGCAGGTATGAATTCGAATTAGTTTTTCAATTTTGACGCGATATATTTGGAATAATGCTGTACCAGATCACAAGTTTGTTTGCACCGGAGAGCGACGAGCAATGAATGCTTGCTTGAATTGTGGGTTTACAGTTACAGCTGATGAAGTTTTATCATAATCCAAATTTGGAGTGTTTATTGGTCCGGTTTGGGTACCACCTTCAACCATTTTTGGTTCATTCGTACAGAGTAATAGTATGAATTCTATCAACAAAACGCAAAAGGAAAAGCCGGCGAAGATCTAGAAAGAAATGTGTAATTTTCTAGGAAGAATTTCATTCCTGGAAGAATGTAACCATTGCAAAAGACTCGATGTAATGATCATTTTAATTTTAATTTTAATATATAAATATAATAATTAACCATTGCAGTGGTAAGCGATGGTGAATTGTAGAGTATAAAACAAGTCTCACTGAACAAATTGATGCATACTCGTATGCCAAGAGCAAAAAATATCGTAGCCAACAAAGAAAGAAGCATTGGTATCATCACGATCGTTATTTTCTGTGAAATCAGTCTTCAGTTCGATTTTTTTGTAGTTATGCTTCTTCGTGATAAAATTAAAATAGTTTAATTAATAACTACCTGCGATAATCTATGCAAAAAATATATGCCTTCTTTGTTTTTATTGATGCTTACAACTGATTTTCCCACCAAGTAGTGGGATATATCTGTCAAACTTTTGAATGAAATAAATTCTGGATTTAAACCAGTAAAGAATAATGTGACTATTTGGTCTAAGTAACTAAACATAAGTAATTAAAGAATTAAAGATAAAAGTGATGGGAATTAAAGGAAATGACTGTATAAAAAGAGCTACGAAAATACGATAATACTAGGTTTCGAAAAAATAAAAAAAAACTGAAGAAAAATAGAAAAAAAATCTGTTCTTGCCCCGACCCGAAAATGATGACAGAGGTTATTCCCCTCATACTTCTTACATTCTTCGATATTTACTTAAATATCTATAATTTTAAGGCTGTAAGCTTTAAACAGAATTGTTGTATAATATATATTCAACACGGCTTTGTTAATTCAACGTAATTGCTCATTGCTGATCACTCTGTTAGATTATGTTAGATCTGTCGATTTCACTAAGATATATAATGAGTTGAAAGTTTTATTTTATTTTCAAACAATTGTTGAAAACTGTTTTTTCATTATTGATAAAATCAATTAGAAATAAATTCACTTTTTACTAACTTTTAGCAAAACTTACCATTGAATACAGTAGGAATATTTCATTTTTCGAGAATTTCCACATTCCAATAATAATAGTGAAAAGGAGAAAAAATGTAGCAAGAAGTGCAGAAAAAAATCCAAGTGTTGGAACAGTGTAGTAATACCACAAATCATTCATTAAGCAGCATATCACAGAGATAATTATACATGACTTAAAAATAGAGAGTTGTTAATAAAATGAGATAAATAAATGCTAAAAAAAAAAGAATTATTTTTGGATATTTCTCAATTTAAACGATCTAATTCTATTCACTTCATTATTTTCATTTAAAACGTTATTGTAAACGAAAAATATATATATATATATATATGTGAAAACTTACCATAGCCGAAATTCGGAAAATTAAAGAGATTTTCGACGAATAATGGAGGCAAATCGTTGTTTGCATATTTGAGAGAAATAATAAGGAATGGCCGTCTCGAAAAGAAAACGAATTTTATGATCGCTGTGCTTCTCTTGCTAAGCATGTTCATCCGCTTATTCTCATGTTTACCTTTCTATACCGTTTTAATTCAATCGGCGTGTTATCAAAATGTCAATGAAGAAAGCAATCACAAATTTGCATAAATTATCACAAGTTGTGACACTTTAGATTAAATGTTTAACATTCCACTAAGTTAATTATATTACAAGATATCGCGATGTAAATCGCTAGGATTTCATATATCTATTGTCACCACCTCGTATGTCGGTATTGAGGAGGAATTTGTTGCTCATCCATCCGTCAATCGGTCTTCCAATTGTCGTAGTCAATGATACAGCTTGATTGACGTATTGGTTTTTGAATTAAGTCAAGGAAGGCTGCGAAAAAGATAGTATTCTCCACCTTTTCTACTTCCTTCTGGTTATTGCTCGATAGCGCTCTTCTTAATTCTGTGACGACCACGTCAAGAACACTCTTTGCGTCCTTTAATGGACGTTGCTTCAAAAAGTATAACATATATCATGACACGATGTTTCACTCTTTTTTCTTGATAAAGTACTTAATCGTTTTTGCTTTGAGATTTAGTTATAGCATAACGTAAAATTCATTTATTAAAATGCAATCAACGTATTGCGTGTTGGGATTAAAACGTTTAAGAATATCACAGTTACATAGATATAAAACTTATCTCAATATTTTTTTTATGTGACGTATTCTTTACTATGTTTGAACTGTATCATCACTTACTGTGACATACCCGATACCTTAGCTATTTCTCCTTTTTTCCCTTTCTTATATCTGTCGTTGAGTCCTAAGAGGTCGAAGAAAAAATTCAGAGAATTTTCATTGGAGCTCAAAATTTGTACAAGAGAAGACATATTTATAATTAAGAACGGGTCTTAGCCTGACTTTAACATTTACGGTTTTTAACTTTTCGTAATGGGATAAATGAGATTCTGCTACATCATTCTTCCACTGTTATCCTCACCTTCACCCCTTCACTTCTTTTTCATCCCTTCTTTAACATCAAGGGAGAGAGAGAGAGAGATCTGATTATAAATGAGCTTATTTCTTGTCGATAGTTCTACTTGATATGCCCTCATTCTCAAAGCATAGCCTCGCTGTTATATATACTGAATTAGCTACTTATCAATTCCATTATCTTCATATTTATTTATAAATGAATTGTTTTTTTTTCTTTAATAGCTTCTTTGAGAATAGTCAAGTAGGAAAGGCTGCAAGGAAGATCATAAGTTAGAAGTAGGCAAGCTCGTTGATAGATAAAATCATAAATAATTAATAGTAAGTGAACAGGTAAAGCACTGTAACAGATTCAATAAGTAATTTTATTAAAGACCTTTATCAGTTCATGCATATAAAATTCATTTTAAAATGAAATGAATGAAAAGCATTTGTACAAGTGATATTGGATATCTCATTCCCCTGTCCTATCTATGCACACATCTCTCCACCTGTAGCTGATTGACTTCGGTAGTTTCGATATGTTAGTACATTGAATTTGCCATTGTTGGACTTTTTTATTTTTTTATATGCCTCTAGCAATGTCTTTTAGTTTGTTTGATTGTGCTTTGTTATTCCAAAATTTTCACTCTTATTATAATAAGCTTTACGCGTGTGTTTAAACTATGAACTATGAACTATGAACTCTTCATGAGCATAGTGTATTTCTTCTGTGTATTTCCTCATACGGCCGAAAAAAATTCGCAGTGCCAAAACAGTATTGTTTTGTGAAACACGCAGCACTTCGGTACACATACTCACACATACACATACATACGTTCGCATGCACACGCATACAACATACGTAGTGCGTATGCAGAAGACACACATAGAGAGAGATTTGCTTTTGTTATTCGGTTGGATCGTTGGAGGGGGACTGATGTGCAACTGAATGATGCCTTATAACAATCTGGTGTAAAGCGCTGTAGCAGATTCAATAAGTAGTTATATTGAAAAACCTTTATCAGTTCGTGCATATAGAGCTCATTTTAAATGAAATGAATGGAAAGCATTTGTATAAGTAATATTGAATGTCTCATTCCCCTCTCCTGTCCATCTATGCACATATCTTTCTATCCGTAACTGATTGACTTTGGTAATTTCGATGTGTTAGTATTACATAGAACTTGCCATTATGGATTCTTTTATCTTTTAGTATGTCTTTGGCAAAGTTTGTTTGATTGTGCCTTGTTATTCCGAATTTTTCACTCTCAAGTTTTACGCGTGCATGTGCACTATGAACTATGAACTCTCCATGAGCGTAGTGTAGGAGTGTGTTTTGTATCTGTTCTTTTTGTCGTCTTCAGTAAGAGAGTTGATATCATTTTCAGAGGTCGTGATGGAAGATGCTTTGTTGCCAGGTCCTTGGGGAAAGATACCCAGAACGTATAAAGTAGACAAAGAACGGCATACCGAAAGCTATATTACTGCAGTTCGTGGAAATAACCCTAAGGTTCAAGTTGTACTTTTTCTCTATTGTCTAAGTCGGTAATTAGTATGTTAAATTCCGTTCTATTTCCACTTCGACAGAAAGTTCTAATGAAAAAGTGAGTGTACATTAGGCGGCCCTTATAACGTGGATTCATATTGCAACAAATGCATAGTTTAAAGTTAGCATACATCGAAGTCTTAATTCTCTTACATTGATTTATATTTCTAGGACGAAAAAAGGAACCCTATGAATGAAATAAAAGATGGCTTCCAAATGCGTCCTTCTGCTCCTCTTCTTGAAGATGAACCTGCAACATTGGCGAAACTGAGAGAGAAATTTAGATACACAATTGCAGAAATGGAGCGTTATCGAAACGACCCTTTTTGGAAAACTTTGAGGTTACTACTTTTCGAATTTACCATTTTTACGAAAGATGAGTTCATCTTCAAAACTCGTTGCACTGTTTTCGTTAGTCTTTTTTGATTATGGTTGCTTGATCTGAATATACCCTTCTACTAGAGATATTCTCAAGTATTCGTTATATCTTCGTTATTTGAATGCTCATATCTCAAATATCCTTTGCTACTGGATATATTTTTAGAATTTGTGATTCCTTTATTCTTTTCATTACTTGAACAAATGGAAAAGAAACAGATGAGTAATAGAGTATGATTTGAGTTCTAGCATTGTAGATTCTTTTATATCTCATGCAGATTATCTTCATCATGTATACAATACTCGTACAGTTCCTATTTTACTAATGGTTGAACATCTGATGGACACTCTCTGTTTCATTTTTTTTTCAAGATATTGAAATGTCAGCTGTTTGTAACAACAACAAAAAAGACAAAAAGTAGTTTCTATACTTTATTCGGAAATTTGTCGTCATAAATCTAAATTTAATGCAGATGGTTGTTATTCATCTTGTTTTGGCTATTATGGATTTTGATGTTCCTGGTTGCCGTTCTTATTGTCATACTTACCCCAAGCTGTGCTCCCACAGCTGCGCTAAATTGGTGGGAGAGTGCCAATATTTATCAGGTAAAAATTTTGTAACTTTTGCAGATCCCTTTTTTCTGGTAGTATTCATTCTGGATCAAATAAAGTGAAGTTATGTCTTTAATTGTAAGATGAAGTTAAAATGAAGTTAAAAAATAAAATGAAGTTCTTTAATATATATTTAATAGTATATAAAACTCTCTGTTTAATTACAGGAAGAGGAGAATCCGAAATTGATCTCGTGAAGATAACTATAAGTTTTGTTTTAAGATTTGGACACCTTCATTCCAAGATTCGAATGGAAGTGGTATTGGTGATTTTATTGGTCTTACCAATCGTCTTGCAAATTTGCGGCGTTTGGGTGTCCAAGTTATATGGCTCAATCCCTTTCTACATTCTGACAATTTCAATGATGCAGTTCGAGATCACTTTATGGTTGATCCAAAATTGGGTATAAATGATGATGCTTACAAGCTGATCGATGCCGTTCACAGTCAAGGTTGATACTGTAATTAAACTTATAAATTGTGTAGAAGAAATGGAATGAGCTTTTATTGTGTAGGAAAATTATTATTAAAAGAGAATTATTAAAGCAGAAAAAAATATAAAATGGATAACATGTATTAAGGCAAAATAAATGTGGGGAATTAATTATCCTTATTATAGAAATGAAAATTGTGGTAAGCTTACCAATAAGCACAACGTCGAAAAATCACGACTGGTACCGTCGAAGTTCGCAAGCAAGTTTGAAAGAACATGCTAATTATTCGGATTATTATCACTGGCGGGAAGCTGTTGAAGACAGTCCTTTCATGTCGAAATACAAAGACTTCTCCTACATGCATTACAAAAATCGACCTGACTGGCCCATTTTAAATTGGCAAAGTGGTACTGTTCAGGAAAATATGTTTGTAAGTTCATTCTTAACATCAGACTATGGTAAAATATTAATTCCATCAGATGTGAGACTAAGGTCAGATTATGTTTTATCACTAGTCGTGCTAAAAGCAATTTTTTTTACTGCCATTGTTTCATTTTTTGATGCTTAGGTTTTACTTTCTCTTTAATTATATTTGAATCGAATGATACACAGTTGAGAATAATGAGAAGGTAAAAAAGGAAAATCTAGGAGCCTCGACAGATATTAGATATTTTTTCAGTTTATCTGTTTGTAGAAAATAATGTCTTATTGGATAGACAAAGGTATTGATGGATTCTACCTCAGTGGGATCGAATATCTGGCCCGCATGAAATATGGATCTGTAGCGGTTTGTTTATATATCTCTCCGTTTCAAATGTCATATTTTGGGAAGAAACAGTTTTAGGAAGAATTGAACCACTCAATTATTCCATTTTATGCTTGTGAACTCAGTGCATTTATTATCGCATGTTTAGGACTGGGCACGTATCATGGATATTCTTCGCGATATTAGGAATCATGTGGACAATTACGTAGAAGAAACCCCAGTGACTAGAACCAAGCAAATGTGAGAGAATCCCAGGAAAAAATTTTCTAGCAATTCAAAAGCAAAATGCAAATTTTGCATTTTAGTCATAGTTCAAATGTACATTCATCTTAATTCTCTTTACCATTTTTTAAACATTACTGATTCCTGAATAGATTTTACAAAATTTATTTCCTTTCGATCTGTTCTTTTAATTATCAAGAAATAAATTGATTTACAGTGTATTATTCGCTACGCGTGATAACACGAGGGAAAATGAGAAGAAGGAATTGGTTCTGAATGGATTGAATTTAGTCATCAATTACGAATTGGGTAGCATTGGGAAAGATAATCAGATCTGTCATCTTACCGAGGGTAATGTCGCTGGATGCATTCATGAAGTACTTACTGAACTGATATCCTTTCACGAAGCAAACAATATCTCTGCAATGTGGGAGGTCATTTTTACTTTCAATTTTTAAGGACGACTAGTTTAATAAGAATCTTCCTTTCCATGTGTCACTATCTGTTGTAATCTTTCTGATAAGACAAGCGGTTGTTAAAAGTTGTGCAAATCACTTCACGTTTTGAAATGGTTTTGCATACGATTGTCGCGTTGACGTCGTGAAGACAGCAATGAATATCTCTCATGTGCTATCCTGTTGATATTTCCCAAATGTTCAATCGGTGATGGGATAAATCCAATTGCAGTTTGGTAATCCAGAACTCTCAAGGATAGCTTCTCGTGTAAAATCGCCGCAACAAGCTGAGATGTTAAGTATGTTGCAACTACTTTTACCTGGCACTATCAGTATTTACTACGGTGATGAGATTGGTATGATGGATTTACCAACTAAAGAATTAGTAAGTGATATCCTGCTGTAGTTTCTGTGGAACATTTTAAAATATGAAGAAAGTATATTGTCTCTTTATAGATACCGGCCCAAAGAGGTGCTATGCAATGGGATGATTCTTCCAATGCTGGATTTTCAAGTGCTAATCCATCAAGCATCCCAGTTCATCCTGAATTTGCAGATAATAATTGGGCTGTAAGTTTTTTGCTCCATCGGTAGTTATTAGGCTAAATTCGTCATCATGCAAATTAACAAGTTCATTGAGTGCAGTAACGATCCTTACGTTTTAAAACGACGGGTTTCGGAATTCGTTCGAATTAGTATAAAATAATGCTATAAATTCTAGAAGCAATATAATTCTCAGCGCTCACATCTGAAGACCTTCCAAAATATGGCTCGACTTAGAAAAAGAGATAAGACGCTTCGTTTTGGACGCACCATTATTGGACCACTGATGAATAGTTCCTTCACGATTATCAGATACATTAAGGACGAGAACACTCCTACTGCAAACGTAATATATACTGCTTGATGAAAAGAGAAAACTTGAAAATTATTCAACACTTGTTGTGAAATATATCGGATATTTATTTTCAGACTTATTTGGGGGCGTTTAATTTTGGTATAGCTGACGCAGCACTGCCAATCCAGGAATCAAATGTTGTGGAAAATAAGAAATTGCATCAGGCAATGGTAATTGCATTTACCAGCAATGCAAAGCAGTACCACTATCGTCAGATGATCGATCTCAGCAGTGGTACCATCACAATACCACCTGAACAGGGTGTTGTATTTAAGTTCAATTTTTGATCTCTATATTTTATATTTTTAATCCTGCAGAGGAACTTTTTTTGTACTCAGTTGTTATCTCGAAATGCAGTGAATCACGAAATTGATGTCCCAATAACAATATATAACATACAATATTATCATGAGCGTATTACCAGACTTTAATGAACGGTGAAAGATGAAAAGTACACGGAGTTCAATCAGCGTCAGAGATTTATTTTTCTGTTATTCCTGAAAAATATAGATCCTCATTTATTTAACTTTTAACTGTATGCGGCGTTGTAGAAATAACAAATTGTGTTAAAACAAATGTTGAAATAAATACCACGAATGCCCGACATTTTACTCCTCAGAAAATATGTAATGAGGATCAAGAGGATGATAAATACAACGATCACAGCAGCGATGAAGACCCAAGAATGTACACTGTAATTTTTTTATTTTTGTATAACATTCTGACGAGATGAAAGGACTGTAATGCAAAGTTATGTACCGAAATTTCGTGACAAACTAATAAATGAAGAAGAAGTCATCTCGCAAACATTATGTCAGTGTAAGTCAGCAAGGAAACAGAGTTGTATTGTACAGATGGGGAACATTCCACTAAACAATCACAGTACCTGTCGCACTGGTATAAGTGCAAATCAGACACATTGCGAATTAACAATTCCGTCATTATCTGTTCATCATATCCCATTTGACGACAATCAAAAACACATTTATGATTGCACATGCTATGCGTGTACACATCTCGATAATTTTGGAAATAAAGCTTGCGTAGGAATTGAATACCGTTTGATTTTGATTCTTTTATGGAATAGATAGGCATCTTAAGAACAAAATAGTTACCACAGAACGCTGGTTTCATGTCCTCCATCTTAAAAAAAGGAAGTTTTTGGGAAAATGGATCCCCATATTTCTATCACCAACACAATATCTCATATTGTCTTTGTGAAGAGGCGTGAAAGAAAAAATTTCCCTATATTCTGTACCCTATCTTGCTTTCTTTTTTTTTTTAAGCTAACTTTCTCTCTTGGAGTTCAGGAATAGAATTGCTTGAGAACTATGACACAAAAACCGTATGAAAGGATTGTGAACGAGAGAACCTCAATATCGTAATAATTAATACGAAGACTGGTATCCAGAGGTATATCATTGCGAAGTTTCTGAATTCGTCCTCCTTTTGTAGACAAGATTTGCAAGTTACGCAGTTCGAAAGACGAGATTTTTGAACATTGCTGCGAGCAGTACTGTAGAGAACGGTAAGTATAAAGTCTGTCTTTGATTCAAGCAAAAAGCACTTAATATTTCTCTGCTGATGAAGTAGTTGAACAGTTGGTAATGAGAGCGTAGATATAAGCAAATGTGCGAAACAAGTAAGACGTATCGTCATCGGAAATAGAACATCATTAATAAGGTTTGTAAACTTGCCTTGTTGCATAAGTTGATAGAAAGGCAAAAAAGATTCTGTCCGTACATGCCGCATTTCTGAAACGCAGTATCTTTTTAACATTCCTTTCTACGGCATTACAGACATTATCCATGAAGTATCCGTAATCTTCGAGAGGACTCCCAGTAAATGTCCCATTGCTCCACAGAAAACGTTAATGAGACATAATTTATACTCAACACATCTCATCCGGTGCTCTTAAATCTAGAGATCATGAGACTGAGGATAAACAAAGTAGCGATATTCCCAATAACATTGTAGACAACAGTGTTAGTACATACATGAGAAGCCTTTTAATTCTACGATACAGGCTATTTGCAAAAATGGAGGGAGTTGAGACAATCTATTGCGATACACCAGTCTACAATAGGATAAGTGATCAGATCCACTTGAAACTCCCAACCTGTAAGGTTTCGTATGATTTTGTAAAGTAAGGTTTTATAAGCTTAACAGAAATAAGCAATAACATCCCATGACTCTTCCTTTACCAAGCACTCAACATTTCTCTCACTTCGGTTTAATACTAACCGTTGATCGATTAACAATAGCTTCCTTTTCTTTTCTCAAGAATACTTGCTGTGAATGTCCATCTACTGTTTGCAGGGTAGCTAATGCAATCAATGCGAGAAAAAGTGAGATGTGGATGATACAAAAAGCACCTGTAGACCACCTATCCATCATTCACTTAACACCAATGACATGACAACATCTTTGCTTTGTTTATTTCTCCCCTAATATTCAGATTCCAACGCAATCCAGTGACACAATTCAAATTTCTTCAAGTTGGTCGAAACAATCGCAATTAATTCTATGCGGTCGATGTAACATAACAATACACAAGAGGCCACAATGAAAATTCTATCTCGCCAATATGTCAAAAAATTATTAGTTTTGTCTTATGTTAAACTATTGCAATACTACTATAATCTTACTAAATAATTCTATTCACCCCTATAATCATTTCCCACTCAACCATACGAGGTAAGCATAGCCATAATCCCACGTATGCCTATAATAACTATTGACACTTCGCGGTTAGTCATTCTATGCTTTTGGGTGGTTTGTATTGATCGGGTAGGATGATGGTTCATGGTATCGTGGGGGTGTTCGAATCTGCGTGGAAATGTTTGTCGTTTTTTAGCATCGATTGAATATTTTGCAGAAGTGGTCAAAATGGTTAATGTCCCAAAAACACGGCGAACATTTTGTGATGGAAAATGCCGTCGACATACAATGCATAAAGTAACGCAATATAAGAAGGGGAAGGAATCGAGGCTTGCACAGGGTAACTTCTGTTATCAATATTTCCTCGATGAAGATCCGACATATATGAACATCGCTTTGCATATCTCACATTACTTTGCTATAATTATTGAACCTACTTTAGAGATCGAAGTGCGAACAGACTAATTCTGTTACCGTTGCATTTAACAATTTTCTTTTTATTTCAGGTAGACGACGTTACGATTCCAAACAGAAAGGTTTTGGTGGCCAGACGAAGCCAATTTTCAGGAAAAAGGCAAAAACAACTAAGAAAATTGTTTTGAGAATGGAGTGTACAGAATGCAAGCATCGCAAACAGTTGCCAATCAAACGATGCAAACATTTTGAACTCGGCGGTCAGAAGAAAACACGTGGGCAGGTAAATTATATTGTCACACTCATTACTTGACTTTTTAAATTATACTTGTAAACACTTTATCTTATTGTAAAAACCATCGAGCATAAAAGTATAAAGAGGGTAGCAGAGTATGAGATTGAAGAACTGAATCATTTGTTACAACAAGTATTAAATTTTAAATTTTAAATAAATTAAATAAATTTAAATAAATTTTCATTACAAATGATATTATTTGTTCTTAGAATCTGTGCTTTTCATTCACCCACTTGATTTACTCTTTCTGAGATCATTTCAGGTTATTCAGTTCTAAGAGGATTTGCTTCAGCGATCTGCTTATGGCTATTGTTTTCATGTTAATGTTGTCATATACTTGAAAAACAGTAAAGATTTCATTGTATGTTTAAAAAAAACATGTTTTACAAAGCTCGTGCTACCGCATCTGATGATCTCTCTGCCGCGAGCTTAGCGTCACTTTTGAGATTCCGAAAATTGCCAAAAAGGTTTTTAAAAATGTCATGTGCATTTGTCAGCAAAAGCAAAAGTTACGGAGAGCAGAAAGTATATAAGATATTGTATATTTATCCACTTTGATTAGATACAGATATGAAGGATCCATGGTAGATAATAGATGGTAAATGATTCAATGTATTCTTTCCGCATGCTTTTGTTGGGAGGAAAGAAACAGAGGTCATCCCTATTGGCCTTTCTGTTCCCTTTGTTTTGGAATCCTTTGAAGATCTGAACTCAGTGAATTGATTGTTTTCTAGTTACGACGAAGAGTTGTGGCAAACATTAAATGTGTTAAGGGGATAGGCAGGGAGGTAGCGATGTGTCATGTTGTCTGTGGGCGTAACTATGATTCATCTTTACAGGTATATTCAATTTAACAAATGTGGCTATGGTTATAACAATTGCATACCATGATAAGCCAAGTAAGCCTGGAGCTTTTCATAATCAAAGGGGAGATTTGATACGGCTATAACTTCTTAATGTGTGGGGTATTTTTTTCGTGTTATTCAAGGTTAACCGTCTGCCAACTGTTGGAAATCTAGTTGTTTCTTATTGAGAAAATGAAATCCGGAGCGGCTGTTGGTATCATGAGTTGGAGCATATTTTTGATTGTATCATCAAAGTGACTCACTAAACCTGATTTAAGTATGCTCTATACGGATAGCTATGATTGTAGATGAAATCCTCCACAGCTTTTCAAAAGTAGGTGATAGTGTTTGTATTGGTCGGGACAAGCGCCACTGTAAGATTGCGCTTGGAGTCAATGCGCAAGGAGTAAGTCGGATTCATCTGAAGCTTGAGCTGCTGTCAAATGGTCGTGTAAGTTTATTTTTTACTGAGAACACTTGAGAATTTTTCTTATATTCATCTCCGTTAAGCTGTCTTTAGATTGTGCAAGAAACCTTTCAATCATTCCTTTTTTAATCCGTTTTAACAACTCGTAGACATTTTAGTTACTTGCCCGAGACACAAGTACTTACGGTACTGGTTACGATGGTGGCCCATTTGTGGTAGAAAGAGAAAAAGAGTTGAAATCATCCGCTGTTCTACAAGTAAGAAGCTTTTTAAACTGTTGTCACTGCTACCTTTAGAATATTTTTGGAAGGCATCTTGACATCTGATTCATGTACGCACTCCGATATTCTTTTTTCTTTTATACGTTGATAGTCTTTCGGGGTTGTTGAAGTAGAAAAACTCTTCACATAGGAGGAACCGAATTTAATTTACAGAAAAATAATTTGAAAGAAGTAAGTCTGTCATTTTTGATGTTTTCAGTTGTACCATTTTTTCCTTCCATTCATTCCTATAGGGAGTTTGTGTTATTATTGATATCCTTTCTCGTAATGTTCTTCTGATAACAGCTCATAGCGACTAGATTAATAAGTAGATTAAACAGTAACTAATTAATCTCTCCGAAAACTGCACAACGAATGAAGTTTTCTTTTTCATTTTTTCTCTCATTTGTACATATACCCTCTATTTACTATTTGAGATATTCTTTTAAATGGTGATTAGATTTATCAGTTTGATTTTGTTAATTTTCCCTTCAGTAGTCCGTGGAGATGAAGATCAAGAACAGCTCACATATTTATATGAATTAAAAATATTGCTGGTGATTTGATAGGCTAATCTGCTTAAAATCTTTGCACCATTTTAAGCGTTCATTATTTATAATTTGGTAAATAAGTCATTAACAGTCAAAAATTTCCGTATATCTCTCTGAATTAATAAGCACCTTCTTCTTTTTTTATCATTTTACACATAAGCTTCTGATTTCATTAATTAACCTAACTTCTGTGTTCTTGAAAATCTTAAATGATTTTTGTCAAATAATTTGTGAAAAGGTGATTAAGTTTAAGAAGAAAATAAGCGATTGATACTATGTCCTTTCTTAATAAATAACAATTTTTGCAGTAGGTGAGCTGAAAATTGCTTTTGCAATAGGTGAGCTGAAAATTGACATAATAGCTTGTTGTGTTATCAGCAAGCGGATTTGTCTTCTGATGAAAGAAGTATGGAATGGAGTGTTTTATAAGTTTTTACAGAATATTTTTCGCTGACCGTTTAGTTGTTCCAGATCGGGAGTTTCTTTTTCGTTATCAAGGAGAGCGTCAGGGAGAAGTGTAAAGAAGAAGCGATTGCAAACCCATTTCTGAGGATTGCAAGAGTAAGTGCTATTTCTTACTAATTCCGTTTAATTTTTTTCCAAGTGGCTTTTCTTTTTGGCAACATCAGAATCAATGTAAAATTCTTGTGATACTTATTATAGGACAAATTTCTTATTATGCAACTAATGAAACTATGTGGAAACATCGCTCTTTTTTTTCCCCAATATTTACAGATGTAATTTTTAGATTAATTCACGGAAGAGATTAGCGTCAAACAAACCAACAGTAGTGGAGGAGGAATGTGTCACTGAAAAGAGGCAGATGATGGACAGTGTTATGGTTCAGAAGTTGGCTGCTGGGGTGAACGATTCAGAAAGAGAAGTTGCTAAAAACAGAAAGGTATTCTTTATTTGGGTTTTATCCATACGCTAGCATATGTCTTTAGTTGATTTCGGAACTTATAATTTTAGCGACATGGGAGCCTTACTTTTTTGAAAAAGGAGCCTTACTTTCATAGTTTGGAATCTTTCAGATGCAGGACGGACTTGATGCGCATACAAACTCAGGGTTAAATACAGATGAGACTTGGATACAAGAACAGGTAGGTTTGTAAGACTATAACTTATCTATTTATCATTAGCAATTTAATCATATATATTTTCGGTTCCTAAAATCTCCATATCACTCATATCGGTTTTTTTAATTGGTCATTTTAAAGTAATTTACTTGAATTTTATCACACTATATTTTTGAAGGATAAAAAATTGGTTGCAAAACTGGGAAAGGAAGTGAAAGAGGAAATGGATAGGTATGTATTACTTCATTTTGTCTTTTATTTGAATGAACTGTAGACGAATTCTCTCTAAATCACTTTCCAGTGCAAAACTCGCTTATTACCGAAGAATTGCTGATTTTCTACCTTCGGATGACGAAAATGATCAGTAAGTGCTGATTTTGAGTATAAAAAAATTTCCAGACAGTGAAACCCGGTCACAGTTTACCAAAATTTGAAATAGGATTTAGCATCTTGAAATATATTATTTTGCCTAAGCAGTCATCAGCATTGTTGATGTAGATAGTGTCACAAGTCACATATTTCTGAAAGAAACGTATCATGTTAGATTTTTCTACAAAAGCCAGGGGAAATATAATTTAGAGGAAGTGGACAAAACAAGTCAAGAATATCTGTGTTCACTATGGCTGATTGCTCACGAGACGTAGGTTCTGTTACAAAGGTGTCACTGGAATATGATTCAAGTAAGATTAAATTTAAAATTATAGCTGATGTGTGTTGCTACCCTAGTTCATAATTTGTATCAGTCAAGTACAATTTCTTTCTTTGATTCTAGGTAACAGGAGCACTGGAGACATAGTTCAGAGCACACATTTTCCAACTGCAGACATTTCACCCTCCTCGAAAAGGTAGGTATTATTTCAAGATTTGAAGAAATTTTAAATCGGCGGTAGTATTAAAGGTGTCTTATGTTTTTTAGGACACGATACAGTAATACGTCAGAGAAAGCTGATGGACTGTTTAAAGAACTTACATCAATGAAAATTATACCTGGAAGTGATTCTATACGTAAAAGGAATGGAATACTGGATGACATTGATACAGAAAAGTCGTCCAAATCCATATTCAGCAGGTTTCTTTTTATAGTCGTCTTCCGGACTGTCCAGAGGTGCGTGATTTCGACTATAATAATGCTACTCATAAAATTTAGTTTTATGCGACATTTTGAAAATGTTAAGGTGATCATGGTAGCATTACTAAACAGGTATATTCTGGGGCAAAGTGCTCCTTTCGATTTTTCTTTAATTTATCCTCCCAAAACCGAAGTTTTAATACTCATTCCAGCGCTCAGTTTTTATCTTCTCGAGAGAAACTTAAAAAAAGTGTAAATGAAATGTCAGCAATTGAAAAGAATAATACCGCAATTTCCCATACTGGACAATTCAAATTTTTGGAATCTGAAGACGTGAGTAAGAAATTTTGCGATCTTCCATTCAAAACGGTGCTGAAGAAAAAAAATGGAAAACCTCCGAAGGTAATGTGAGTAATATTAAGTACTAATACATTTCTGAAGATCGTATTTTTTCGAATGAATTTATGTGCATTTTTATATTTCAGGTTATTAGTAGACAAAATACTATTACTACTGGGTTAACTTCCTGGCTCGGTCTGAATATTGTCAAGAAACGAAGCAATCAGTTCGGTAACTTTTGTGGAATTATTGCTTTGTTCGTCTTTAAGGATATATTATACTAGAACCATGACTTGTTTTGATCTTATTGCAATCATTAAAAATTTCAACTAGAATTTGTTAGAAAAACGTAAACAGTGTAAGTGGCTAATGATTTTCAGGAAATCAAAGTAATACGGATAAAACGGTGATAGCCTCTAAACGGATGAAGATAGAAGTAGTGGAAGATGGAAACAAAAAAAAAGTTAGTTTCGGTTTCAAGCTTCTATTTATTTTTATGTTGAGAGTGAGGTGTGTTTCAGTCGTTGTTTTGCAGGAATCGGAGAAAAATTTAAGCTCAATCGAAAATGGAACAGAGTGTGAAGTAAATATTGGTGAAAATGATCAAACCCTTGGGATGAATGTTGAAGTTTTGCGTATGAAATTGGTCAGTCATCAATTTATGTCATCGAAATTGCTACGTTTTTAGGCAAGCTTGCATCCGTTTCTTGTTGATTATGTTAGTTCAATAGTTAAAGCAGCATATTTTCTATTTTCAGAACAAAGCAGTGCAATATGAAAATCTGGAGAGGCCAATTCTGGCGAAAGATAGATCAGAGTCTTACTTGACCGGTTATTGGCAAGAATCCAATTACAAGCTTTTTAAAAAAGTAAGGAAGTAAATAAGATGAATTCGGTATAATGGATAATGGAAATGGTCTAACTCACTGTACATCTGAATTACTGCAAGTCTAGAAACTTTTAGAAACAAATTCACTTTGATAACTTTTCGATCTCGGCGTTGATTTTGAGGTAATGGTTTGGTGATTTCAACTTTGAGTGCCTTTGAAGGGACTCATGAATATATTGGTTGCAATCTTGAGTATCCTTGACGGAACTCATGAATATTTCATGTTCATTTGGTTTGTTATGCTAAAATTGGCAGTGTTGTCCTGGTAATGCTGATTTTTTCGCAAAACTATAGAACAAATATTGACAAATATATAATAAATCTGGTGGTTTGATTATAGGCTGCTCAAGGATCACACGGTGGCTGTGGATTATTACATTCTCCGATGACGCGAGTTGTGGATGTCGCTGATCTAATTGATTTCGAAGAAATTGCTTAATTTGTTCACTGCGCATAATTTCATAATTGAATATAATTTTTGTTTCAATTAATTGTTCTGTGCAGCTATGGCTGCCTTTCATTTCAGCGTTTCATTTCATTCCAGTTATTCACCTGCTGCACTCTTTTCTTCCACGTCATTTCCTTACAGAATTTTCCCGTTACTTACAAGTCTCCTAAATCCCCGAGAAAATGACAAAATGAAAATTGTGTTATATCTCTGGTCCAACCCAAATATTTCGGTGGCTTTGGAATTTGTATTAGTTTTTGAATCATATATTTTGATGGTTATTCACAGTGATATTTTGTGCAGATACTTTCCACTGGATAGCTGAATCTAATCTCCTTGCCTTCTTGGGTATAACTTCGTTTGCGTTATAAAAATGCGGAAATCTTCGAATTGAATTTTGGCTTTCAAAGTTGCTCAAAAACAAAAATAAAAGAGCTTTGCTTTGCATTAAAACTTTTTCTCTGAAATTTTCCTTCATTGTTGTTAATTTTGGGTCTCTTTTAGTGAGTGCTTTACAACCAATTGCGAAATGTTTGTGTTGTGCACTTGGGGAGTAAAATGTTCAAACCAATTAGTTTATGCTACCGCAATCTTTTTTGAAAAGTAAAACTAACTAGCTATTTTTATGAAGTGAATTTCATTTTATCTGAGGATTAGTCCCTAGAATGTGTAATCTCCTTGTAAATGTGGTATTTTAGACTAATGCCAAAATCACTTTATTTCAATAACGCACATATCAAATTATATTAAGATTTTGTGAGAATGGCATGAAGTTTGAAATTTCGGATTTAATGATAACTTTTTCATCAGCGATATCATAAACATCATTGAACAACATAATCTCACTGGAAAAGAATGATGTTTCCGGTGTTAGCTTCATTTAGCATTTTTGTTCATACCCATGACAGCACACAGAATTCTTTGGAGTTAGTATGTCAGCTACCTCATAAGGATTTGTTGAGGCTATGCTACCATTTTTTCTAAGTAGAATATGTAGTGAATAGCTGAGCTTTGAGAAGATTGATAAACTATTTATTGAATAGCTAATAATCTGACACTTGGCCATGTGCTTTGGGAAGAATGGATCTTTGCGTCATGCCTAAACTCTCCTTAATGCCCATTTTATCATTCCATTCTTATTTTTTGCTGTACTTTTTTGATTTCGTTAGGATTAATTTATCAACTTTATGCCTATTTATTTCTTACACTGAAGCTGACGTTTATTTTCTATAATCTTTCGTGCATCTTGATTTTCCTAGGATGCGCTTGTGATCTGCATGAGTGGAAGTAACGAAGGCTGTTAACATTTAGTTGAATGATTACTTATTCACATTCAGACAACTCCGCTCTCCTGTATTTGTTTTTACTTGCTTACTTCATGCCTTCTTTTGGATAATCTTAATTGACTGTAGGTCAGTTGAAAAGTAGTAATTTTTTGTAGAATTATTGCTTATATAAAGTTGAGACAAATTTCATTTTCACTTTACAAGTTTAACTGTGTTGGAAATGGATTCTAAAAAATTGATAGAATCAAGTTTTTGTAATAATGTAATAACTTCCAGAGTGATCTTCGTCCTAAGATTGTGACTAATTTAGGTGGAAATCCCAATACGAGTGAAATACAAGCTTTACGTCTATTATTAGTTTTCAAAGTAATTTCTTATTCAAGCAGTTGTTACTATATGGTAAATTATCGTGTTTTGGGATGGAAATGTCCATGACTTTGTTATGTTTACATTTCACTTGAGGTTCTCTTTGGATATGCAATAAACCATTGTCTTGAAGACAGGTTTAATCTTCTGTGAAGCTGAAAAAATGATGTAAATATCTTCGGATAAAGCACCAATAGCTGAGCATCAAAAATGGGACAGAAGGATGGTTTATTGCTTGATTCGGACGATTCTGATATACCTGATCTTGATTTACCTACTTCAAATATTCGTAAAGGAAGGTCAAGATTGTTTTCAAGGTTAGTTGTTTTCTTTTTTTAAATCATTTCTTCTGAGAACTTACTAGTCTCTTAATTCCAGCAGTGTTTACGAATTGGACTATATAAGCATTAGTCCGAAGACGGATTATTATTATTATTTTGGAGAAACTAAAATTGTTTAAATTTTCAACAAAGTTAAGCTGCGTCACTTTTTATGGGCAATGAACAAACAGTATGAGAGAGACTACCAGAAATTACTGCGGTAATTAAGCTTCAAGGAAATTTTAACGATTTTTTCAAGGAAATTTAAACGAAAATTAAACGATTTTTTTAGCCTAAGACGTTTAACACATTAAACTGAACTTCTGGTAACAAATTTGCAGACAACGCCAAAATGCAGAAGCAATAACCGTGAGACGGCGCATTTGTAGCGTGCATATCGCGCTAATATTGCTACTGTCCGCTATAGTTGTCTCTATTGCTTTTCTAGGCCTCTTCATCTCGCATATTTCGTCTCAGCTGGAACTATTACGCAGTAATTTCATAAAAATTTCCATACATTTACTTCTCCATTCAATTTTTTTGGAGTTTTGAGCATTTCACTTCATTTTAAAAGAAAAGCCGAAATAAGCAATGTTAACTTATCACTAGCTTCATTATAGATGATCCGAGACATGAGGTTGTGACTCGAGAATTGGAAATAATTAAATGTGAAATGAATAGGATTAAATTAGATATCGATGTGCTGCGTTTGATGACCTCATCGCCAGACACACCTGCCTGGAATGTCTCCTCATTACTATACACTCGACTAGAGCATATCGAATCACAAATTGGTAGTATCGTTGATAAAGTACAGGTAGAACCTTACTTCATATCTTTACTATTATTCAAACTATAATCATATTGATTGGAAACACTGGATTTTTTTGAAACGGAAATATTGCCCAGAAAACAGTGAAGAATATTTCGGTTTCAAAAATTCTTTTTTTGGAGAAAAGTTTTTTTCAGGAAAAACTCAACGATCACTTAGAAAATGATACCCTCAACTTGATATCGGTTTGTCACTTACTTTTTGTCATCGCAAATATAATCGAGAAAAAAACTTCCCACATGCGTTTAGTTTCGTGTATCATCACCCTGAACACACTAAAACAGTTAAAAGCTTAGTATGCCTAAACGTATGAATACTTGAATAAGGAGATTTATACTAACGGCTCTGATAAAGTGTAACAATTAGCTTTCTGTAATGCAGCGTACTGAGGAATAAAATAAATTCAATAATTCAGATTATTTCTTTCTTCATCAAGCAGTTAATCATACTGGTGTGTATGAGATATATTATTTTAAGCATCCCTTTTTAGTTATGCACTTCATGACTATGTTACTTAATATCAGGGAAATATTTCTGAATTTGCGCACCACTATTATCCATCTCATGTAGTTTTGGCTGGAAGTGATGAAAGAGCATTGCTTTTCAAAAAATATTAAATATTGCATTTGTAAATAGAAGCTTCAAGCCAATTCATTTGAAAAAAAAAAACCATTTGAAGGAAAGGGGAAATACGGTGCAGAAAGAAATTTCTTTTTTATTTAAGGAAAAAAGGCTTTAATATTTCAATAATGGAATGATTTTTAGGATCAGGTCAATGCCGTAGCAAATGCTTGCATTCAAGGATGTGGGGCCGTTTCAAAGCTGGTAATATTTAACAATGGCACGAAATATACCTTTGACCCAGCTGGCGACAAACTAAAAAAGAAGCGTTCTAAGGTACCTCAATGGTCTTCCACTCGTGACATTCCTGTCGTGTTCACAAGAGCCAAACATATATAGTTCATGTCCTATATGTATCTATATATTAAAACATTTGCTGTGATACTTCTAAATCGCTCTTTCACTGAGGATTTTTTATTGATATGAAATCAAATAGTGTTGTAGATTATACGAATTTGCATATCTCAGATGCTTGCAAATAAGGAATTTTTTATAAGTAAAAGCAAAATGAGGGGAGAATAGAAAGAAAAGGGAAAAGGGAAAAAGCAATGAGCTATATTTGTAATATACTTCGCTAATGACCAAAATTTCCATTATGATCATCGAATTGTCGAATAATTTGTATTTATTTATATGCGTTTTAGAATGACCCTATTATAGGCTATTACTGTGTTGACTAAGTAAAATTTGCTTTAATTAATCTATAGATAATATTGTTTCTGTGTTGCTTGTTGATCAGTTTTGCTTTCATCTTGTCTAAAGTCACGCTCGTGTTAAGTTCCCTATTAGTATTTATTCATTTTATGAGTAAATAAGGCTGTCAAAAAAGAATTTACAATATACTGAATATAAGAAATTATATCATACATCGGAATTTTAAGAAGATATGGAAAGGGAACGTTTGCAATTTGTTCTGTAATAAACTTTATTGTTGATTGGAAAAGCTTATAGTGAATGTGCGAATATAAGGAGTGTTATTGTTGCAGAAAATTCTGCCTAACTTACACCACTGTACTGCATTTTATTCTAGTAACAAAAAATACTAGAATGATAAGATTACATAAAAATAGGATATTTTACAGCTCACGGATTAGTGAGTAGTAAAAGTTTGATAATTATGATTACTTCTAGGGTTATCTTCAATAATTAATTCTCCAGATTTCTTGGGTACCACTAAGTGCTAAGAGCTTGTTAAATAAGATTTTCGAACACTGCATAAATATCTTATGTTTATTCTGTGACTACTTTGAACGGGAACTTGTCATTTTTTTTAAAGATGGAAACAAGAAGCTGGAGAATCATTAGATTTTCGGGAGGTGTTTCATCTCTCATCAGAAATTCAGATAGTTACAAATCAGTTCCACTTATGCAACACATTAGATAGCTACAAAATTAGATAGTTACACATTAGATACTTATGCAACACATTAGATAGTTACAAGCAGATAGTTACAAATCAGTTCCACTTATGCAACACATTACTAAATGCTGGGATAGAAGATTTTAACCTTTAATCATTTATAAACATCCGGTTGAATTGTTTAGTTTTCAAAGCAGTCCGCTGCAAATACATATTTTATCCTATTATTAATAATAAAATAGCATAATGCGCAAAACTAGTAAAGATAAAACTGAAAAGATTTCAAATCAGATGAAATATCGAATTGCATCTACTAATTCTTGAGTCGAAATTTCCAGGTGTCTTGATCCAATATGAGATCTAAGTTACTAGCAATACTGAATAGATAAGATTGAAATTTATCCACCCATCTTTTCCAGATTTGTTGTGTTATTATGCCGGGGAAATGTCATTAATATTTGGCCATCATATATACTGCCCTTCGTAATTTTGTAATATTTGTCTAACACATTGTAGGTGCATCCCATATCTTGCAATCTATTTCTGCTTTCTTAATTTTTTAAAGCCTTCTCATGTGTTTTGCACATAAGGTGCCTTGTCAGTAACATCCACTGGGGACTAAAAATATCTCACACTTAGATAAAGTTTGTTAGTTACAACTTCACACTCTTCGAAAGTTAAGAGCATGAACGAAATGAGCTTCACTACATGCAAAAGGTCGAAATAAGCTTCACTATATGCAAAAGATCGATTATTCTGCATGTTTTAATTTATGATTGCCATACTTGGATAAGTATGCAAGCTGGTATCAGTATTTTAAATTAATTTGCAAATACACAAGGTACAACAATTGACACCTACCTATGCTTATTTCGTTTTTTGCTATACCTCCAACCAGCACTAACTGATATTGATGCACATTATCCAGTCTACAGTGCTGTAAAATAGACTTCTGCAAAAGCTAACTGAATCCAGAAATGAATTAGTCGGTTCATGTCATTTTAAATATTCATTTCTGTTGTGAATGTAATGCAGACGAGATCTCATATCTCTGACAAAAGAAAATTGCTCAATTGCTTTATTTTGTTTCAAAAAAAGAACAATCTTTGAAGCATAAACTGAAAGGATTAAAAAGAAATAGTAAGATGGCAAATAAACTTTGTTAAACAATGTAATGGAAAAGTGCAAATTGATACCTTCCCTTCCTGTAATGTGCTTACAACTAAATGTGGCAAACAAAAAATCGGCATATTCCATAAATTACTCTGCCATACTTCGATGAAAATAATATCTGAACCTTTTTTCCAGTTCTTTATAGTGATAGAGTTGCCGAAGGCAAACATTTACTGTTTCACTCCGAATAGTTTGTTTGAAACAAATTTGACTGAACAATTCCTCTTTCGAGTATCAAATCATTTTTCCATATCCTTCAGAGTGAAATAATGAACTTATCATCAACGAATTATCACATCTCTTATATTATCGGAAATTATTTGCTGCAGCAATTAGCAATTTTAGATTCAACTTTAACATCCTTGAATCATAGTTATGACTCAAAAAGGTCTCATTTAGAAAAACGAAGCCTGTAAAAAATTTTGTTTGCTAGTAAGAGATGAACCAGAAAGACATTACTTCAGCAGTTTATTATGCTCAGCGATAATGATTGTTTTCAAATCAAATATGACCGTATAACTTTAAATTAGATAGAAGGATGCATTCCTTAATATTATTGAATCTAAGATTACATTTTGAAGAGTGCAGAAGAGTCAGCAAAAAGCTCTGTATTTCTGCAATAGAAATTGCCAGAAAGCGAGAGAAGACATGCCTCGGAAAAACTAATATAAGGTTACCACTACCAGATAATTTCATTGAGCGCTGATTTGATTTGAAATCTCTAATTATACTGAAGAGGCTGAGAAGAAAAACAAATATTCAATTATTCCTTGATGTTGTATAGTTAGGCTGAGCCTCGTTTAACAACTGAGACTAACCTTGAGATATTTTAATTCATTTTTACCACCTAATTCAAATTTCAAATCTATGATTGATTGAAATGAATCAAATAATCCATTGAGCATTCCATTGAGCATTTTTTAATTTTTTTCTTTTTTGAATGCTTCGTCTTTCCTAAACAACAAACGGAACTAACGTCTCAGATGGGTGAAAATTTCGAAAATATTACTATAGCAAACATTTCGAAAATGTTACTACAGCATGATTAATACATATATGTAGACCAGCAATTTCTTTACTTAATATATTCGATGTATTATTTTGTCGCTCCAAATGCTTCAAGGTTGTAGCAATTGAATAACAAAATCAATAGCAATGGTACCTATTGACGAAACTCCAAACAATCATGTTGCAAATTATTCCGTACTTCATTTCATTATTAAATAGATCATATGCTAAGTATTCTTTTGTTAACTGAACGAGTGATGCTATAATGTTATCCCATCGTTTCTTAAATCACTACAATGTACCACATAGCGATTTAAGAAACGCTCGATATCTTTCCTACTCTCCATTATCATGCATACATGCACCACCAACAACATCTTTGTCCTAATAGCTAATGACCTCCAGTAAGTCATCGCAATACTATACCAATATAGTATATCATATAGTATATGCATATTATATTATACCAGTATAGCAATACCAATATACTATACTATATCTGTTGACCTCTGCTCAGTATATTATATCCAATATAGCATACATTGTTATAACTTGCTGTTTGACTTTTTAGAAGGCAAATTAAATTCAGTTATTACGTTACGTCATTAAATTTATACCTTATACCAGGTAAATGTATTACATGGAAGAGAAGAAACCCTTACTCGAAGGTTTACGAGGATCTCCCCGATGATTTTCTTCGTTCAGCAAGAAAATTAGTTGATGGAAATAGGCATACGATTTAAAGAATGGCAAGCATAACGTGCATATCATTGGTAAAGCGTAGCATGCATATCCGGTCCCCTCTTCCCCGTCTCGACTAATTTATCCATAAAGCTACGAAGAAGTATCATTCGCAGGACGCATATTTTCGCATCGTCACTCCCTTAGCGAGTTTTATTGCATAACAGCGGGCGAATGGTCGATTATTCAGCCTGTGTACTGCGAATCGGCTTGTGTTGGGTCGCGAGGGGGAGGAGGTATTCAGTTTCGCTGTTGTAGCTACCGGCTGTGGTGGGTACAACTCACTTCAGTCTTATTCACTCAGAGCGCTGTGTTTCGTTTCATGTACATGCATTTTATACAGGAATGTTTTATTTTCGAATATGTAAGTTGCAGTAATTCCTTAAATTTCGCAAAATGTGTTTTGCTAAATTTTTTCTACGTTTCAGGTGTTGGCAGTATAGTAGCTATCACTATTGCCATTGCAGTTAAATAACAGGAGATGACCGACGAGGACCATTCCGATTCTCGAACCGAAGACGACTATGAAGAAGGCGAGGAAGCATATGATGATGAAGGTAGTAACTTATTATACATATGGTGATCTGAAGTTGAAGAAAGCATTCCCTTATATGGTACATGGGAATATATGGAATTCTCTTGCAGCTTTCTCCGAATTTGTAGGTACTCTGGACGAAGAGGAAATGCTACATCCAGAAGAGAATTATCAAGATGAGCTTAAAATGCTAGAAGATGATGCTAATTTATCCATCGAAGAACTTAGACAGAAATACTGCAACGCTGTTGTCGAAGAAGAATATGATGATGCGCAGTCCACATCAACATCAGATGATGCCGGTAAATTGGATGGTTTAGATGATACAACTGTGAATCCTGACTTTGCAGAACCAGGTAGCGTTTATCTATTTGCACTTCTGTCATTTTCTCTATCTATGGACTTTTTGATCGGCTTTGTTAGGCATTTTTTCATTTTTATTGACTGCAGATGTCGAATTATTTTTTTCTCTTAATGTGTGTTCATTTCTAAGCTGTAAGATAATTGCATGTATATTGGATTTAGTAAACTGTTTCTTAAAAGTTGCTCACTATGTTGCATTAATTTTGCTACTTCGCAGTCTCATCTGCATACCTAAAGTTACAGAAACCAAAAATTTGGATTGAAAATTTACAATTTTTTTCTTTAGGTGTAGTTGCATCATCAGTTGTATCTCCCAAAAAAGGAAAAAAAGAGCATGGCTATTTCTCGGATGTTGATGATAATGAAGAGGACACTGATTATGTGCCGCCTGATCGTTGGCGAAGAATTGTGAGACAAGGACCAATGTATCAGGCCTCTGTCCCTGACACAATATCGATGGGTCCCAAAAGTCCACGTTAGTTTTTTTACTGCTTTTTTCACGTAATAAAGTCGAATTTTGTCTAATTACAAATTTTCAATTTTATGCAGGGAGAGAGCTTGAAATGCTTTTATGGTCACCTCATACTGATGTGTCAATGAAGAAAGTGGAAGAATATTTGAAGAATTATTACGACAGGGTACTGCAAAGCAATGATTCATCTCTCCCTGCTGAAACGCGTAAACCTGGGAATTCAAATCGAAGTTTTCCTGTAAAAGATGATGAAGATGCTTTGAAGTAAATTTATTTATATATTGAGGTAACGGCATTTTTATTATCTTGTACGGCTCTTTGCTTGGCTAAGTGTTTTATTACTTATTCAGAGCGCTGTTGAATGCGAAGTATAATACGAGCATCGCATTGGCCAGTTATCCATTTCCACGCGCTAATGCCCCTCTGAAAAGCGTTGGACCAAATCCTACCAAATGGAACGACCAGGTTTGAAACTTTTTTTTGCAGTTTGAAATACAAAATGGATCATACCAATTTTTTAATAAAACTGCTTGCATTTAGGACTGCGAACTTTTCGAAAGAGGTATGCAGATGTATGGAAAAAATTTTTGCCTTATCAAGCGATTGGTGAGATCTTTCATTTATTTATTTATTCATAGAAATAGTTGTTTCAGGACACTTTACAATGAGATAGTTTATTATCAAGTTATAAGCGCAATGATTTTCGTTATTCTCACCCTTTGTTGGTTAATCATTTTCAAGTATTCAAACATTTCGAAAAGTATCCTCATCTTGCTAAAAAACTCAGTGTGAAGAGAGGCATGATATTTCTCAATACGTTCCATACTGCAAAATCAGTATGCTGAACAATTTCCTAATTCGGAAGTTGACTTTTCAGTTACCTCATAGGACCGTCGGCGAAATAGTACATTTCTACTACATTTGGAAGAAAACAGAACGTCATGATATGTTCCAAGAACGAGTTCGCGGTATGAAAAACCAAGATCATCCCAACTGCACGTACGATTATTTTTATTCGCAGTAGGCATTTTCCATTACGGCATATCCATTAGTGTGTAGCTAGACAACTGAGATCCTTGATTTTCTCATTAACATTTCGGTAATTATAAATTATAATAAGATAACTACTCCAGAGGAATATAACATTATAGTGACAGTTAATTCTAATTGTACGTACTGGTACAATTAAAATTAACTGTCATTATAACGTTATATGAAGTGATTATTATTATAATTTGTAATCACCGAAATGTTAGGTGTATATATTGAAATTTATGCCACCATAATTTCCAGATATTATATTTCAAAAGCGTTTTAGGGATTTTATGGGAGGATTAATGGATCACATGGATGGAAGGAGTAGTAATGTACTGGATATAGCGGCTAATACAGTTCCGGCTGAAATGGATTGGATAAGTAAAGATTGGGAATGGAATAACGAAGAAGATAGTACTCTTCCTCATCTGGATAGCGATACCATTGCTAACGTATTACAGTGATGGCGATACGATTGCTAACGTATCACAGTTTGCTAACGTAATTATGTTTACTGTATGTGATCTCCCCAGTAGTTTTTTGCGAGAATTTCCTCAAAACAACATTCATTTCGTTGACGTGATTGTATACATAATAGGTTTAGGAGAATAGATTTAACGCATACGAAGCAATACTGTGGCACACGCTCATCATTGAAGTGAGTCGCATTTTTGCCGCTTTTATAAACGTTATCTCATTGTTTCTGTTTTACTCATGTACAGTTTCAGTTAATTTCATAATTCATCTAAAGATGGAATGTTGAATATAACTTTGCGATATTTTTATTGTAATTTTCCGTTGTCAACATGTAAGAATTGTTACAATAGAATTCATTCTTAAATGAACTAATGGAATAGTCTGCATTTTAACGCACTTTACTCCGAAATATTTTTCACGATCAAGGAACTACAGCGTTGCATCAAATATATTGAAGTTGATATCGGTTTCGTTTTTTACCCGTTTATTGATAGAACTTTAAACATTGTGGTCTTTTTTACCTAATTCAGTTCAATTTATAGCTAGCATCGCAGAAGTTCACACTATGCTCTTTCCGGTGATTACCTAGACTGATCTTATTACAGTGCGTTTCAATTCTCCTATACAGCGTGTCAATATCATGTTTTGACGCATACCGTCACATGTAATTCTTATCTTTTCATGTGCACCTTGTGTTTAAGTATTGCTTTTCCTCTCCCCTTCCTACAACGAAGACAATTTTTATAATTCCAAAATATGAAACTGAGATAAGTGCGGCTAGTTCCTTCATCGTTATAATTTACATACCTTTTGATGGTACTTGCTTATCATAGATTATTTTAGTTTCCAGTAATGTTTCGATTAATAAATGATCTTGTTTCTGCCCATATTTGCACACACTGAAGAATAGAGCAACGTCGAGTAAGTGATGCTTTGTCGCTTTGATGATTACATGTTATCCGATAAGATCGGATATGAGTTTAAATTAAAACAAGTGTTGTCCAAATTCAAATAGTTGTTTTTTTTGCAGTTGCAGTCGATAAGCGATGATGCAGTGACTGCAAGTGGAAGACGTGGGGTTTGGCGTCACACGTTACGAGATTCTTCGCTACTGCTCGGTATATATAAACGCTGGAAGCACTGAAATAAATGCTACATTGACCCGAATAGATGAACGATGCCTACAGTTGCAGAAGTTGACTTACACGTAATTGAGTATTACTGCTAATTTTATCAGAAATCAGTATTACTGCCAGTTTCTCTCGAACTGACATTCAGAAATTGGTCAAATCATGTGCTATTCATGTGAAGTTATATGCTCACAGTACATGAGGTATATCTGCTTTATTACAACTATATCATGTTATGTATTAAATCGGTGAAATACTTGGGCGGTCGTGAATTCATTATTGTTTTCAGTAATATTGGAGCTTCAAAGATCATTAAGGGTATTTAGACATTAAAAACAAAAAATATAGATGACTTCAGTCATTATAATGGCCTCACATAAATTCATCAAAATTTATCGGCACAATCGGTCTTGTCCTTTCCCGCAACAAAACATTTAATAATTGCACTTTTTTTAAATAATTACTAAGGCATAAAATCTGACAGCTCACAGATGTCATTTAAACTGCCTTAGATCGTTCACCTCTTCATCCATTCTATCAAAATAACATACAGATATTATTGTATAAATATTAAGAGAACAAAGTGGTCCTATTTCTCTCTAGCTCAACAAAAAGAGAACTGATATTCACAAAGCAATAAGGTCGAAAGAGTTGGGAAAGGTGGCATACTTTCTGTCCAAAAAGCACTTTGGGACAGATGATCTTAGTCACTCATTACATCTCACCATATTCTCAGAACAAGTTGAGTCCAGCTCTTTCCTCATCCTTTCTCTTTTTCCAAGAAAAATTAGCTCTTCTCGCAATTACAAAAGAGAATCATTTACATTTGCATCAAATCCAGAAAAATACTCCCATTTTGAAATGTAAATTACTGAGCCCATTTTAGTTGTTGAGTCTTTTTTAAGATACCACGATTTTGTTTCATTATTATTTTGTATTTGTGGGAAAATCAGAAGATTCTCCCGAAACATGTATAAAAAGTCCGATATTTAGAACTGCGTGGTAAGTTCTGCAGGTATAGGTTCGTCTTTCTCAATGCCACAAAGAATTCAGAATTATAGAAGCTTCATTTAAGGCAAGATTTTAATTCGACACTTATCAATAGAATCCACTGTTTTACCAATCAAACAAAAATTTCTTATGTCTAGATATAGACTTATATTTTGGGTTGCTGGTGTTCCATTCATTTTTCTGATTCGAATTTTCTCATCATCAGGTCTCGATAAAGGACCAATGTATTCACCTTGATCTATATGTTACACTGCCAGCGTGTGATTTTTTTCAATATGTTTGTAAACGTTATCCTTTTTTGCGTTTGAATGTGTTCAGTATACTAATTGACTACATCGTTTGCTGAGCAAATTTCACTTTATAAGATGAATCACTTTTCTATTTCACTTACAAAAACAGAAGTTTTCTGTTAGATACTAATTTTATCACAATTTACATCAATAATTGATCAATTTGCTTCTAGGAATACAAAAAAAAAAGAACAAAGTATCTTTGATAATATAAGAATGCAATCAAGGAAGCTAGGATCCAAGTCTTTCGAACTGGAGAGAGTAAACACCAAAAACAGCAGAAAGACAATCGTTTCAAGATGAGACATGAATTTTCAATTCTGCTGTAACACCACTTTCCCACAGTCGTTTTGTTTCTTTATCCAAAAAGTTTACAGAAAATTCCATTGTACAACTCTGAAAATATTCCTCATTTTATCGGAATAAAATCCTATCATAATTCACACTGCAACAAGGGAATAATGTAATAATAACCGAGAGCAATCACAAGGCAGAAAAAAGCTAATCGCATCAGATTCATCTCATGTATTCTATGCAAAGTATATAACACCTGCGGAAACGCAAGAAGAAATTGAGCATTGAAGAATTTCCCTTCCTGCGGCATTACAGTCTGAAGTTGGGAACAGTCCCTCTGAAATAATATAAAATTTAAAAAAAGCGAAATCTGCTACAGTTTCCAGAACGGAAAAGCTCTGCTTTTTACAATAGTGGTTACTTGAAATAATTTTAAAAAATCAAGTTCTCTAAAATAACTTACATTGAAACCTTTCACGAATTTTGCTACCGCTTTCACAATAACAGCATCAACGGAAGATGCATGCGACGACTCGATTGCGCCTTCAATGGCAATTGGAACTTTTTGGTTAGAAAAGACATTAATAGCATTCTCTGTTGGTCCTGGCTGCGGTAAAACGTTCAGCTTAAATGAAATAGGTTTCAGGACTGCAAAACTTCAAATTTCGCCTAAAACGTCTGCAAGATTTCAAATAGCTTTTACACAGGATCCCCGTCGCAGAAAATTATAGAACTTCGAAAAAACAGACCTTTATCTGCGTATATTTAAGCTGCTGGAAAAAAAATCGTGGAATACATATCGGAAGACCACATAAATACCCAAATATATCCGAAAGAAATTTCAATTTCTGAAATAAGCTTCACGGACTTAAAGTAACCACTCAAACGACTACACATCATAATACATAATAAAGTTTTTGCTTTCAAGGAATTTTGAGAAACTTCGAGTAAAATTGAAAAAAAATGAGTTATATTCTATATTAATGAGAAGATAATACTTCTTTTGTTAGCCTCTTCTCCAGAGCTATAACATCCAGCTTTTCAATTTCTCCTTTGGCCCATAAGAGTGAAGCGCGTAAACGCTTATTCGCCAGCGAATAATGCGAAGAAGAATAGTGTGAAGAAGAAAAAGGACTGAAAATGCTGCACATGACTACAGAAACAAAGTAAGCTCAAAAATATATTTCGGACGACTTTTTTGAAAAAAAAAACTTTCTGAATATAGAGACTAGGTCTGTGATCATCTGGTCCTAGCGTATTTCCAACTTCAAAGTCGTCAAGTTATACCAGAGTGCATACGAACAAAATAATGCAATGAATCACGAGTAGACTTTTCTTTTCGCAAACTTTTCGCAAAACTTTTCGCATTGGTGAAAGAGTTTAAACAATGGCAGAACAAATGAATTGACCGCACTACAAAAATTTTTCCACTTGAAAAACGGACAGAACCCGTTTCAGAGAAGACTCAAAACTGCAAAAATTACTGCCGCATGATAAGTGACATCAAAGTCGTGACCAGCTAAATAGACTGATCCAACGTAAATGCAGCGGATATATTTTGGATGATCAAAATAGGACATAAATGAATTGAAAAGATCTGAACGCATTTCCAAACCGAATAATTATGTAAACATACTTCAAAATAAATCATAAAACTAACGACAACGGTTGCTGCTTTGCGAACAGCTGTAAAGCAGCACTGAATAAAGCACACATCCCACTATATAGCTCCACGAAAGTTGTAGTATTAGTATCCGCATCAAAGCAATGCTTGTACAAGTCTAGCCACATATCGCGACATCTGTGCATCCCTGAAGATTATAAGTCCTTGCCAGAATATTTCATGTAAAATTTAAAGTAACTGAAGAAATGGTAATCAAATATTCTCAATAAAAAATTCAGTTCATTACGGGAAAGAAAATCATAATGGACTTACTTACTGCACAAGCCTGCAAACGAAATGAAACTTTTTTCATGATATAAAGAGCTGGTTTGTCATTCAGTGATAAATTTGTATTTACAACAACCAAAAAACTGCGTAGAACCGCATACATACTACACAGGCAATCCACAAATCGCAATGGAAACATGAAATAGCGTAGGAATTCTCGTGATGAGCATAAGGTCTAAAACACTCAAGCCAAAAAACGTGAATACAACTGAAACACGAATTTCAAACTGAACTGCTGATTTAATTACACATCATGCAGTCATTTATGATTTGTAAATAACAAAAACAAAACACTGCAAACGCACAGAAAG